ACATGCCCTTCTGGTGAATCTTGTCAGCCTATTTAGAGGGCTTTGTTTTAGGAGGGTCAGCTGTTCCTCATCTAGAGGTAATCAGTTGAATATATGTCAAATTTTAAAATTGTTACTGTTAATTGATACTCAAAACTCTTGGGACTGAGGGATTTCTGAAATAAAATGGTTTATTGAGCTGTACAGATGCTGGCTCTAGAAGGATAGGTCTTGGGACATGCCTTAGCAGTTCCCAAAGGTAAGGTTAGAAATATAGAGTTGGAAATATGTCCTTCAGACCTATCATGCAAGAGAATTTTTCTGACGAAAATTTGAGGAAGGGAAGCATAAGTAGTTACACTAAGCCTGTATTGGCTATGCATAGAGGGTGTGGAATAAGGGAGCACGGTGTTTGGGGACAGGAGAACAATTCATAAGAAGCACCTACTGCTTCTGGGTGACTTTGAAGTTATAAACAGAATGGGATGACAACTGGTAGTCTAGTCATGTTAGGTTTGAATCAATATTTTGAAGTTCGTAGAGGAGAGTGGAATAGTTTTTTGTTAGTTTAGCCAGCAGCTGTTTCCGAGTAACTTCCTTTATCTCTCTTCTTCATTCATTAAGTTTATGATTTCTCAGAATTTTTCTTTATCAATACCATATTGAGGCATGAAAAAACTCTGGAACTCTGACGTAGTTTCATTTCCTGTGACAGTGATACAAAAGCCTGACAAAAGCAACTGAAGTAAAAAAGTTTATTCTGGCTCACAGTTCATGGGTACAATCCATCATGGTGGGAAAGTCAAGGCAGCAGGAGCTTGAAGCAGCTGCTCACACTGCATGCACAGTCAGGAGGCAGAGAGTAAATGTATATATGTGCTTAGTTTGCTTTCTCTTTTATATATACAGTCTAGGATCCTAGCCCAGTGATTGGTGCCACCCACCATAGGTGAGTCTTCCCACCCCAATGAACCTAATTAAGATACTCTCCCACAGACATGCCCAGAGGGCCTACCTCTCAGATTATTCTAGATCACAAGCTGACAATTGAGATTAACCATTGCAAAGTCCTAAGGGTATATTTACGAATACTTTCTTGATCTTGACTAGCCACCCCACATCATTGCATTTTTTAATTACATTATAATTACATTATTCATGTAAGCAAAGAACCAGTCTGGACATAAGTGTGTGTATCTATTTATACACCTTCAGTTTTATTAAAGTAATAGTGAGAAAAATGTATATGTCTAAGGTGTACAACTTGTTTAAAAATATTTTTACATTTATTTATTTTTGTGCGTGTGCATGTGTGGAGATCAGAGTACACTGAGTCAGTTCCTTGGCCTATAATTTGATGTTTAATGTACATACACATTATATAGTAACCATTACAACCAAGCCAATTAACACATTCATCACGCCTCATGATTACCTTTATCTTCTGTTTTGGGTAAGAATGCATAGAGCTTTAACATATTTCAAGAATAGAATACAGTATTATTAATGATAGTCACACTGCTCTATGTTAGATATCCAGAACTTATTTATTTTGTACAACTAATGCTCTAACCTTTCAGCAGCATCTCCACATTCCCCCTCCTCCAGCCCCTGGCAACCATCACTCTCTGCCAAAATCCTTCTTAGGCTGTTGAAGTCATCACAATTATGGGTAAAAACCATCACTTCACTTCCACAGCTACCCCACAAAGCACAAACAGTTGAAAATTGTCAATAGATCTCAACATATTATGCTTAAATCTCATACAGTGCTCTTAGTACTTGCATTCTGGGGTCTTTAAAAACACGCTATCCAGTGAAAATACCATCTATAGTATATTAAAATTGTAAACTAGGTGTGGTGGTGCATCCTATTCAAGCACTTAAGAGATTGAAGGAGGGAGATGGGAAATCTGAGGCCAGCTTATGGAGAGAGAGAGAGAAAGAGAAAGAGATTTAATTTTAACATGATTGTTTCCCTACATCAGAATGGTCTTCTTTATGTGAAACAACTTGAGACAAGAGGTAAAGTTGTACTTAAAAAAATACGGTAACTTTCCTATGTAGCTTTTTTCCTTCCTTTCTTTTTTTCTTTTTTCTTTTTTTCCACTTTGTAGCCTTGGCTGGCCTGGAACTCACTATGTAGAACAGGCTTGGCCTCAGAGTCACAGAAATCCACCTGCCCCCTCCCAAGTTCTGGGATTGAAGGCAAGGGCCACCATGACCGGATGTAGCTATTTAAAATAAAAACACTAAAATTCTAGATAGCATACTTTAATTTTAAAGGTAAATTTGGACTTATGAAAAAGGGTGCTAGGTCCTTGGGACCTAGTTGTTTTTGCAGCTTTCATTCTTTAATGAATTAATGAAATACAGACCATGAAAAGTAGAAAAAGAAAAGCCATAAACAGAAGTATAATTTTGTGCCTTGATAACATGAATCTAAATTTGGTTCAGCACTAAGGCTCAATAAAGGTATGGATTGTTCCAACAATTGTTTAGAATTTTAGACATATAATTTGACCTCTGACTTTAACGATTAGGCTTTCAGGGTCTTCAGCGAATACGACTAAAGGCTGAGCCCCTGAAGTTACAAAGAGGCGCACAAAGGGTTATTATTAGCATCACTGAGTGGCCTAGGCAATTTTGTCGTCAAGAGTTGTCCTTGTCATGGCTGTTAAAGCGATGATGAAATATCTTTGGGCTACCTTTTTTTTCGTTCGTTTCCTAATTTCATTTTATCTTGAAAGTACAATCCTGTTTTCTCCAGAAAGAGCATTCGACGTTGGATTACCTTTTTTCTTTTAGTTCTGAGAGTAAAACCCAACATTCCCATGACTTATATGGGTTCTTGATTAATAACTTAGTCTTAAGATGACTTTCGGCCCTTCTTTCACCTCACACAAACCTGTCGGACAGGAAGCTGTGACTGAGCCACCCGTCCTCAGGTAAACACCCTTAGGCCTGTCCATTCTACATCATCAGACTGTCATTTTTCCTCTGGTTCTCTCCAAAGCCTTTCTGAGCGTCTCTAACTGCTCTGGAGAACTCGGAGGCTAGGTGAGTGCGCGCTCTGTCGCGTAGGAGGCGAAGGCGCGGGCTGGGAGCTCCGGGGCGCGTGGAGGCGGGAGCGAGGCTGCGTCCGGATCCGGCGGCGGCGCGGGCAGCCCGGCTGGGCGGGGCGGCGGGAGGAGGCGGGCTCCGGTTGCCGGGGCCTGGGCTCCTCGGTCCGCAGCTGCCCCGGCGTGTGGCCATGTCCTGGCTCCGCGCGGCGTCGGCAGGGACGCGGCTTCTGGCGAACCGGAGCAGCGTGGGCGGGCGGCGCGGCGCGATGGGAGCTGCGGGGTCGGGGTGAGCCGGGACCTTCGGGGTTTGGAGGCGCGGGGGCGCGCGCAGGCGGTAGTGTGGACCGATCCGGGAGCCTGGGTCGTTATCACTGGGTTGGGTGAACAGTGAGTGATTACCACAAGTGTGACCCAAGTGTAGAACTGCACATCCTTGAAAGGCTTTAGGTGCTTTGCAACCTCTCCTTAGCCAGTTTTTACGTTGATTTTAAGGCTTGGCAGTCCTATCCAGGAAATGGAAATGAGGATTGCATCTAAATGGCCGAGGCTTTGCGGACCGGGACCGGCCGCATGGATGTGGCTTCTGGTTGCACCGGGAGCAGTGCTGCCCTGGCTTCCTACTTGGCATACCCAGGGGTGGCGCATCTGCGGTAGCAGACCCAGCCGGCCCTGCTGTGGCCGCATCTCGGTCTCGCCACTGTGCTTCCATCCTTCCGCAATCCACTCTATCTCATCCAGGAGAGCCTGCCAGTGTCGCAAGATTCCAGAGGTTCAGGATTAACTTTCCAGACCAAGCTAAAAGCCCTCTCCTTTCTGAAAGTGCTAATGGAGCGGTGTTAAGTCTTTGACAGGTTCTTAGACTCCGGTTTCCTGGTAGATAGTCTAGGGTGTATACTGCTTTACCCACCTATACCATCTCTTCATAGGTGTTCCACAAATGTAGCATGACTTGTTGGCTTTTTACCACGGTTGGAGTGAAATGTTCATTTTGCATTTATCTACCCCGTGGATGCCCCCACCCCCATTTTTTAAAAAATAGGAAAGCTGAAATAGAAATTGAAGGGTAAGGGTGCCTTTTGGAGACTTTTTCTCTTTGACAGGGAAGGGGTAACTGGTTCAGAATGAAACTCCTGGCCCTCTCACTTCCAAGAAAATATTCCTAGAAAAGTTCTGCTCCGACGTAACCGCTGTAGAGATGGTTTGAGGGTGAGTTAAATGCCAAGCTTGAGATGAAAAGGGAGGACTTGTTTTCATAGTTGAAAAACCAAGTAAACTGGATAGATGCCATCCAGTGCTCTTCCAGGCCAAGAGCACCTAGTGTTTTCTAGTTTGCCCTTCACAAATTCAGACTTTTTTCTCAAAGCCGTCTCCTCCTCCCAAGGTGGCCACAGTCCTCCATGTCCCCTGCTCCTGTCATCTTGAAATAAGTATGCAAGCTCTTTTGAGTGGTTTCCTTGTTATTGGGGAACAAGAAATTGTAATGGCAAACAAATGTTTAGTTGCAGTGATTCCTGTCTCTAACTCATCTTTGTTGTGACTTAAAGTGATGCGTGACAACTTATTTGATGTGTTCAGTAATAACTGTATAGAGAAGTTGATCATCCAAGGAAAGCATGGACTGGAAAAGACCATTTAAAGTGAATTCATGTAAAAACAGGACTAAAATTTCATATTGTATTGTTTAAGAAATGCTTTAACTGGGGCCTTTAAAAATTAAACATAAGGGATTGCAGAGATGGCTCAGTGGTTAAGAGCACTGGCAGCTTTTCCAGAAGACCCAGCTTTGGTTCCCAGCACCCACATGTTGGCTAGCACCCATCCTTAACTTCAGTTCCAGGGGATATTGATCTTCTAACTCCCATGGGCATCGCATACATATGGTGCACTTGCATAATGCAGACAAAACACACATACATATAAAATAAAAGTGAAAAATTAAAATAGCTTACTTTTATATTTAGCAACATTTGAAATTTAAATTCACAAAGAATGGATTGCTTATTTGGAAGGACACATTGTTTTCTTTAATCACAAGGAAGAAAATATTTGTCAGTTTTTGAATTTTATGTGTATAGTGTATTGCCTGTATGTATGCACCCATGTTGTGCAATGCAGTGCTTGTGGAGGTCAGTAGAGGGTATTGGATCCCTTGGAACTGGAGTTATGGATGGTTGTTAGCTGCCATGTGGGTGCTGGGAATCGAACCCTGGTCCTGTGCAAGGGCAGCCAGTGTGCTTAACAACTGAGCCATCTCTTCAGCCCCATAAGGATATATTTTAAAATTTTTATTGTATTTATTTTATGTGTATGAGTTTATTGCCTGCATGTAAGTGCACCTGTGTTGTACAATGCCTGTGGAGGTCAGAAGAGGGCATCAGATCCCTTGGAACTGGAGTTATGGACCATGAGGGTGCTGGTGAAGTGAACCCGGGTTCTTGGCAAGAGCAGTCAATGCTCCTAACCATTGAGCCATTTCTATAGCCCTCAAGGAGCATATTTTAAGAAATACTTGAATTTTAAATTATTTATCTCACTCTTGATCTTTAGCTATTTGAGAAATTCTCCTTTGAAGCATCTATTATGCTAATACTTTTGAGAGATTAATAGTTTGCATCATGTTAGATTTGCTCTGAGAATGCTGACTGACCAGGAAAGGTGAATGAATAGGGGCAAGAAAGTGGAAAGATCTGATGACACTGAACTGGTCAGTTCTTTAGTGGATATTTTGCTGCTCAGTGAGAACTTACTTTCTCAAGCTCTCATCGGCTAGATTTTTGGAAAATAAATACCGAGGCAACGAGAGTCCTTATAATCAGAATTAATAGTTGACAGTCTTAATGGCATTTACTGTGTAAGGCATAGTTCTGCCTCTGTGCATGCCAGCTCACCTAGGCTTCACAGCACCTTTGAACTGGAAGTGATTATTGTTCCTACTTTGTGGATTGGGAAATTTGGGAGCTGTAGATTATTAAAAAAAACCCCTGCTTCCCTCAAAAATTTTAACTCTTTGTAGGGTCCTTGCTTCAAAGAACATCCATGTAGTTTCTGCATGTTCTAAGAAGGAATTGGAAACACATTTTATAGCTGGTGATCAGGCCTTCAGTAGGGCAGAATATTTGAAATTTGATGATTATGAGTTTACTTGTGAATAAGAATTGTGCTGGACTTTAAACAGTAATTGATTTTTACCAGATAAACGATATTGAAAAGGTAGTAAGATAAGCACACAAGTCCCTTTGGTTTTAGCAGACAAGTATTTTGTAAAGTGGTATTTTGTACTGATAAGTAAAACTTTTTTTCCTCTCTTGTATGTATGGATACATTTATATTTAAAGTTTTCTTCAAATTGAAATAATGGGATATATGCTCAATTAATGGTGCTGTTCTTTTTCATTTGTTTTAGGATGGGAAACAATACATCAACATCCTTGGGGAACTCAGCAACTACTCCTGTGAAGCAGATCCAAGTGAGAGATAGGGGAGATGGAGGGGATGTAATCTCACACATTTAACATGCTTATTCTGTGCCCAGATTTGACATAGTTCAGAAAATGAAATACTAAAATATTTGTTTTAAAAATTGTTAGCAAAATTATCCTTGTGACAAGTCCTATATCATTTGATAGTCAAAAGTTCATGAAGTTTTTTATTATTCAATGATTTAATTTTGTGTGTGTATGCATCTGAGGTAGTTTATGTGTATGTGCAGTGTGCATGCCTGTGCACATACCTGTGCACATACCTGGCAGAAGCTAGAGGAGGATGTTGCATGTCCTGCTCTATCATTCCTTGCCTTATTCCTTTGAGTCAGTCTCTCTCACTGAGCCCGAGGCTAGGACAGTGGCTATCAAGTCCCAGCAGTCTGGTCTCCGCTTCCTACAGTGGTGGTGCAGGCATCTATCTGCATGATCATACTTGGCTTTTTATGTGGGTGCTGGGATCTGAACTCAGGTTCTCTTGCTTGTGAAGTAAGCACTTCTATCCACTGAGCCCTTATCTCCAGGCCTTCCCCACTTTTTTGTTTTAACAGTACTGGAGGTTGAATCTAGGGTGTCCCCTGCATTGCTAGGCAAACTTCTACTACTGAGCTGCATCTTTATGCCTATTTTCACTTTTTCTTTTGAGGAAGGGTCTCATAAAGTTGCCTAGGCTGGCCTTAAACTCACTCTGTAACTCACGCTGGTCCTGTACTTGTAGAGCTGCCTTAGCTTCATGAGTAACCGGGATTGCAAGCCTGTACTAACAGTTCTGCAAATAAAATTTTATTTTATGTGTATGAGTGTATTGCCTGCATATGTGTAAATGCACCTGTGTTGTGCAATAACCATGGAAGTCAGAAGAGGGTATTGGATTTCCCCTGGAACTGGAGTTGTGGATGGTTGTTAGCTGCCCATGTGGGTGCTGGGGATCAAACTCAGGTCTTCTGCAAGAGCAGTAAGTGATCTTAACCTGTGAGCCATCTCTCCAGTCCTAAATTTTTTTTTTCTTACTTTTAGTTTATATGTATGAGTATTTTGCCTGCATGTGTATAAGTGTACCTATGTCATGCAATACCCATGGAGGCCAGAAGAGAGTATCAGATAACCTGGAACTGGAGTTACTGACCCTTCTGAACATGGGTCCTCTGCAAGACCACCAGTGCTTTTAACTGCTCACCCATCTCTCCAGCCTCTGAGATTTATTCTTAATGAAATCTTTACTTCAAGTTGAATCCATGAGGTTGACTTTTTAAAAAAATCATTCCCACTTCAAGTCTGCTGTTGATACCTAATAGTCAAGCCATCCATCCCCACAGTTATTTGAGTTTGGCATGGGCAACAGTTAAACAATTTTCTATCCTAACACAGAACCTCGTGTGCAATATTTACTCCATAAATGACTATTCTCTTAGGGATACTGTACCTGTACATGGTTGTATTCTCTTGTTTTCTTCTTTCACACCAGTCTTAGTTAGTTGCCTCAGTATATTTCTCCTAAGCTGGCCTTGGTGTCAGTTTCCTATAATCCTAGCACTTGGGACGCCTAAGAGAGGAGGATAGAGAACTCTAGTCTCCCTTGGGTCGAACTCTGAGAACCCAGTTTCAAAACAAAAATTCCAGAATTCCTCTTAAATTTTTCGTCCCGTGTAGCCTATGAACCATATCTTTTTCTTTTTTTTTCCTTCCTTACCACCTTCTGCATAATAATTTTTGTCTGCTTTGGGCACATACTTAGCATGTGAGAGGCCTTGGGGTTTGATCCCCAGCAACACAGACATACCCATATTAACATGTAGGAAATCTGAGCTTGTTTTAGTTAAATTTGGTTTATCTTTCAAGTATAGCAGTAATGCTAGAAACTTACTGTGAGGGACAGTCCTATTTTAAAATACAAATGCAGCACCATGAAATATTTAGTAAAGATGAGCTTGAGAGAAAGTGAAGAGGATTCGTTCAGCAAATGAAGAACTTCAGGAAACCCTGGCATTATCATCTTGAGGCCTAGCTCACTCTGGAATCTCCTTAGTAGTGTTACTGTGCCATGGCTGCACCCATCTCTCGGAGTGTGGTTATCTCTTGGAGTCTAAGCAGTAGGCTTGGGCGGTCCACCTTTTAACCTGAACAGCATGGTGGACAGAAGAGCACTGACTTTGGGTGTGCTAAGGAGCTTGGGATGAACCTCTCAACCTGGTTTGTGATCATTAGTGTAGCTGTTATGTTTCACCTTCCTGAGACAGAATTTAAAATATTATAAGCGGGAGAGAGAACATAAAAGTAGATCAACTTGCACATATCTAGGGTATGAGTCAGGACACTTCTGACACCTAAGACTGAGTATAATTCTGAAGCACTTTTTCTGGGTATTGCACTTTCTGTTTTTTTCTTCATCCTGAAGTTGCTGTTTTTGTTCTACCATATAAGAACCATCTAGGCAGATGACCAGGTACCATACTTGTCCACTGAACACCTGCCTGGATGCCAGGCCTGTCTGTTCAAAATCATGTGAAGGACTTGGACATTCAAATATTTAGAAACAAAGAGAAAACAACTTTCGCAGGCTGTGTGGACACATAGCAAAGTCTGTGGTCATTGTGGCAAAGGCCTGGAGAGCAGTATGCAAACCAGGCTGCTGTCACAGTCATCTTGGAAGCTTGTTTCTACCTCATCTTTAAAACATTGAACATGTACTTCTGAAGTAGTTTTTCTAGAACCAGCTGGAGGAATAGCTTACTAATACATCTTTTATTCTACAAAGATATAAAGGAAAGAACAGAAGAGGAAGAATAAGCAGTTATCTACACTTGGATTAGCAAAAGCTTTGCATTTTAAGGAGAAATGACATAACATTCCTTGCCATTGGAAGTTATTGGCAGCAAGGAGTGAATTCCTTCTGAACACCTCTTGAATATTTGAGAAGTAGAACAATAGAGATTAAGGGTCTAGACCATCGGGCTGGATTTGCCTGGGCTCAGAGCTCACTAACCAGACTATAGGTAAATTACTTTTCTTCCTCGGTGCCTCAGTTTCTTAATCCTCAAAGTTGAGCTATTAGGAAGGACTTATGCTCTGACTGCGGTGAGGCAAGAATGACCTCGTGACACTGAGTATAGGTTGTCTACACTACACAAATTGGCATTGTTACTGTTGCTCATTATTGTAAACGCTCCCAGGTACTATTTTATTACATTTTTGTTTCTAATAACCATCTTTTGAAATAAATATCCTCAATCTACAGATACTATAATAGATGATAGGAAGCTAGTTTGAGCAATGAGTTGTGTTCCACACTAAAAAAAAAAATCACACTTTGCACTAATTATGATTTCTTTCTAAAAGGTAATGTCTGGATGAAAGTGATTTTGTTTTTTAATTTCAGGAAACAATTTCTGACAATTGTGTAGTGATTTTCTCAAAAACATCCTGTTCTTATTGTACAATGGCCAAAAAGATTTTCCATGATATGAATGTTAACTATAAAGTTGTGGAATTGGATATGCATGAATATGGTAACCAGTTTCAAGATGCTCTTCACAAAATGACTGGAGAAAGAACTGTGAGTATGTCTGCAGCTCTGCTGTTCCTGATGCTAAGCTGGTTCTGCTGGCTCACCAGAATGGTAGATTCTTGTATTAGAAAAGCAAGCCAGACTTTCTCGATGTTATACTAATAAGGACATGGCAGCTCTAGCTGGGTATGGTGGTGTATACCTTTAATTCCAGCACTCAGAAGAGAGACCAGCAGATCTCTGTGAAATCAAGGCCAGCCTGGTCTACATAGTGAGTTCTAGGATAGCTGGGGCTATAGGGAGACTCTGTCTTAAAAAAAAAAAAAAAAAAGGCAGATCTAGAAACCAGATTCATAGAGTAAGAAACGGCATAGTTCACTTTGTGTGTGTGTATGGGTGTGTGTGTGCATGCACACATGCTTGTACAATGACTTGGGTGTGACATGTACCCATGTCATAAGAGCTCATCTGTGGATCATTAAGGTCCTTTGGGAGCTCTTTGCAAGATTATTCTTCCACTCTTTACTTGGACAGTATGGACCAGGGATCAGTCTTCAGTTCCTGAACTTTCTGTTCTGGACTTTGGAAATTTTTTTTCATTATATGAATAGTTAGAAAAACATTCTGTGTTGCGTCTTTTCTTCTCATTTATAGTACATGAAATAAATTTGGGGTATACATTCCCCTTTAGTAAACATGTAAAAAAGAACCACATAAACATACTGATACTTAGAAATTGCTTTTTTTTTTCTTGTAAAAATACCAGTGAGTAGGAGGAAGAGCTTTAGAGTCAGCTTGTCTTGAATTTGAATTCTAATTCCTTCACCATTGCTATCTTGGAGAAGTTACTGTTCCTCATTTCCTCCAAAATTGGACTGAAAATAGAATCCAGAGCATGAACTTCTTTACTCTGAGAACTGTTTTATACTTCGGACGGTCAGGCCTCATTTATCTTTTGTTTATTCAACAGGTTCCAAGAATATTTGTCAATGGAACTTTTATTGGAGGTGCAACAGACACTCACAGGCTTCATAAAGAAGGGAAATTGCTGCCACTAGTTCATCAGTGTTATTTGACAAAGAGCAAGAGGAAAGAAGTTGAGTGATTTGGCTCTTCACCATGATCAGTTAAAATGATCAGACCTGATAATGCCTTTTAATTGAGGGTTAAGTATGTGAATTATCTTCATAAAGATGATTAAAAATAATGAACAGTACATTGCTGTGGAAACCTCAGCATCCTGCTTGCTGGTTCTTGAGCAGGAGATGCTATACAAAACTGCAGGGATGGCGTTATATCAAAAGATAAGGAAAGGTGCTAGAGAGCTGGCTCAGCGGTTAAGAGTGCTGACTGCTATTCCAGGGGACCTGGGTTCAGTTCCCAGCACTCACATGACTGCTAACAACTGTGGGTACCTCCAGTTCCACGGGATCCGATGCCCTGTTCTGGTCTCTGCAGGCATTGAGTACATGTGGTGTATTTACATATATGCATATAAAATAAAAATAGATAAAAGTTTAAAGAGGGAATCCGAATACCATCAAATAATATTGTATGAAAATTGCAAAAATTCCATAATAAAAGAAAAAAGATGAGAGAATGCATTCTTTTAGGAATTTGTATATGAGTGAATGTTACAGCTAAGAGTTAGGAGGTAAGCACTCGAAATTCTTACTCCCTGTGGTATTCAGTTCATGCTTCACTTCTGTGGCTTTCAGGAGTGAACACTGATGTATGATTTATCTAAAATTTAAGGTTCTCTTTGGTATAGTTGTGAACTAAGTTGGGGTAGCTAACATATTGTGGCAAACCTTCACACATACTTCTAGACCATCAGAGATATATTAAATTGTATGATGGAATGAAGTTTATTGTACGGAAACCAAATTGCTAATTTAATGACTCAGTAGTTACAGGGAAATAAATATATCTTTGGGCAGAAATTTAGAGGAGGAAGATTTGAGCATTGTAAGAAACAGTTCAGAGATGCACTTCAGGTGGTATTCTGAGTTGGAGGGTTCCAGATATGTTGAACAGCTGTTGAAAATTCCTTCCTTCCTTCCTTCCTTCCTTCCTTCCTTCCTTCCTTCCTCCTTGGTTTTTGTTTTCTTTCTTCCTTTCTTCTTCCTTCCCCTCCTTCCCTCCCTTCCCCTCCTTCCCTCCCTTCCCCTCCTTCCCTCCCTCCCTTGTTGGGGAACCCTGCTGTTAAGGTCAGCTCCTTTCTCAGGAGGGGCTTCCTGCCTGACTTACCTGGAAAGTGCCTCCAAGCACGGATGCCTGACCTTATTTGGAACATGACCTTTGGCATAGTTACCGGCAATAAAACTACCCCCAGGTTTTTTTCTATATGGTAATTAGGCATTGCCCTATAGCCAGATGATAGGATACCCCTACCATATGTAAATAAAGCATACTATCAGCTGAAGCTTTGGTTGCTGCCTCCACACTATATTTTCCCTAACCCCCACTGAATAAACGGAGCTGTATCACTGAATCTGCCTCCCTGGAAGGGCTTTCTTCTGTCTTGCTCACTGGCCATCTTGACCCGGTCCTGACCCTGTTCATCGCTTCTGCTCCCTTTGTCCTCATGGACCGGTGGCCAGCGACCCATGAGGGGAGGGAGAGACCCCACACATCCTCCCTCCCTCATCACTTCTGCTCCCTTTGTCCTCCTGGACTGATGGCCAACAACCCATGAGGGGAGAGACCTCCCTCCTTCCCTCCCTCCCTCCCTCTCTTCTTCCCTCCCATTCCTCCTCCCTCTTCCCCTCCCCTCCCTTCCTAGCTACCACATCCAGCCTGGAAATGTTTAAGGGAACCAGCATTAGATGGGAAGTTCGACTAAACGTTCTTGCTATGGTTTGAATTTGCCTCAACACCTTCATGTGTTAGAAACACAGATCCTAATACAATGTTGAGAAGTGACTAAGGGGATGGAGTGATGGCTCAGTGGTTATGAGCACTGATTGGTCTTTCAGAGGACCCAGGTTCAGTTCCCAGCACCCACATGGCAGTTAACAACCATCTGTAACTCCAGTTCTAGGGGATTCAAAATCCTCTTCTGGCCTCTGTAGGCATTGTATGCATTGGTGTACCTACATACATGCAGGCAAAATACTTCTACACATATAAATAAAAATGATAAAAAAGGGGATTAAGTCATGAGGGCAAATAGATTAATGCATTGAAGGAGTTGGTTAGTTATCATAGGACTTGGTTCTTGATAAAAGGAAGTTTGCCTCTCTCATCTCTCTCAAACAGGTGCTCTCTTATCCTTCTTCCTTCTCCAATGGGATGATGGCTCAGAAAGGCCCTGGCCAGATGCCAGCACCTTGATCTTAAGCTACCCAGCTTAACTATGAAAAAATAAATGTTCTTCAGAAATTAGTTTCCAAAATTCTGTTACAACACCACAAAATGGATAAGATTATCCCTACAATCACTTCTAATGTTATTCTGCTATTTTATAACTAGGAATGTACTGTTCATACTGATTTCATTTCAGATAAACTAAGGAAAGATTTACCTGGTAAGAAGTATTGTTTAAAGATAACTAAAAATATTTTCTAATACTTTGCTAGCTAATCAGTTAATATTTCCAGTTTATCAATTATATATATATATATATATATTTATTTTTTTTGAGACCAGTCTCCCTATAGCCCCAGCTGGCCTGGAACTCGCTTTGTAGACCAAGCTGGCCTTGAACTCACAGAGATATGCTGGCCTCTGCCTCCCAAGTGCTGGAATGAAAGGCATGCACCAGGACACCTGGCTTCCTAGCAATAATTTTTAAAGTGTCTCTGAAATGAAGCATTTCCTATTTGAGTCCCAGAGTCACACTGGGCAGATTACCAGATGCCGAGAAAACTTTCTCAGAGGTCGACAGAAATGGATTTCCACACTTTCTGGTCAAGATGCACCAGGGAATCTGGGACAGTTTTGAGGAAGAGTGGCTTGCTGTCAGTGTTTTCCTAAATGGACTTAAACTGCATTTCAGACACCTTCACACAGTGAGACTAATAAAAAAGATTATTGCAGCTGGGCATGGCAGTGCATGGACCTTTGGTCCCAGCACTTGGAAGGCAGAAGCAGGTGGATCTCTGTCAGATCAAGGCCAGCCTGGTCTGGGGTTTGTGCTGTATCAAAAGGTATCATTTTGCAAAACAGGACTCTCTTCACCTGCATGTTATGGTAAAAGATCTGACCTCATTTGGGCCATATAGCAGATTAAAAGTCTTTGGAAAAAAGATTCAAAACAATAATAACAAAAAAATCTTTAGCCCTCTGAGCATTTAAAATGCTGGATACAGGGCCTGAGAGATGGCTCAGCAGGTAGAAGTTTGTTTTTTTTCTGGACCACTTAGGGTTTTCCAACTTCCTTACCTGCCTAGCCAAGATATTAGGGAAAAGGGAGAGATCAGTGTCAATGTTGCTTTTTAGTTGTTTTTAGTTTACCTTTGGTTTTCTTGAGATAGGGTGTCTCTGTAGCCCCAGCTGGACTGGAACTTGCTATGTAGGCCAGGCTGGCCTGGAACTCACAGAGATCTGCCTGCCTTTGCCTTCTGGGTGCTGGGATTAAAGATGTGTGCTACCATGCACAGCTGCTTTTTTTTTTGTTTTAAATTTTTTTTGAAAGAAGGTCTCCTTGTAGCCCCAGCTGGCCTGGAACTCACTATATAGACCAGGCTAGTCTTAATTTCACAGAGATCTGCCTGCCTTTGCCACCTGAGTGCTGGGATTAAAGGTGTGGACCACCATGATTGGCTTATTTTAAGTATTTTGATTTATTTTTATTTTAAAATATTTCATTATATTTATGTTTATGAGTATTTTGCCTGCATGGATGTAAGTGCACCATGTGCATGTAGTGCCTGTGGAGGGCAGAAGAGGTTGCTGGATCTCCTGGCACTGGAGTTCTAGACTGCTATTAGCTGCCATGTGAGAACAGAAAAGGGTGTTGGATTCCCTGAAACTGGAGTTACAGTTGTTAGCCACCATGTGAGTGCTGGGAATTGAATCCAGCCCCTCTGCAAGAGCAGTCAGTGCTCTTAACTGCTGAGTCATCTCTCCAGGCCCCCCCCCATTTATTTTTATGTGTATGAGTGTTTTGTGTGCAAGTATGTTAGTGTACCTGTGCAGTGCTTGTGCAAACCAGAAAACGGCTTTGGATCCCCTGGAAGTGGAGTTACAGCAGGTTAGCAGCCATGTAGGTGCTGGGAACCAAAGCTGGGTTGTCTGCAAGAGCAGCCAGTGCTCTTAACTGCTCAGCCATCTCTTGAGCCCCTTCTTATTTTTACATTTGAGACCAAGTCTTGCTTTGTAGCCCAGCCTGGCCTTAGACTTCATCTCCCCCTGTGGGATACTGAATGCTGAGATTACAGGTGTGCACAGGGCTTTTGATGTCTTAATGTTGAATTTTGTACTCCTTTCCATACTTTATGGCTGGAAAATGTGTATTATAAATCTAAAACAAAACCCAGTCTTAAGCTGGGTGTGGGGGGCACACCTTTAATCCCAGCCTTGGGAGGCAGAGGTGGCTCTCTGAGATTGAGGTCAACCTCGTCTACATAGCAAGTTCCAGGCCGGCTGGGGCTGGGAGACCCTGTGTCAAGAAACAAACAAACAAACAAACACAACAAAAAAGTTTCAGAAGCTTTATCTCCCGCCACCCCCCCCCCAAAAAAAACCATAAGCTAGAAAGAAGGTAGACTCAAGAAAAATTGAGATTTCTACCTTCTCTTGCCTCAGTCTTTTTTTTTATATTTGTGTGTATGTGTGTGGGCATGTGTGTGCCACAGGATGTATGTGGAGGTCAGAGGACAACCTGCAGTTTTTTCTCCTTCCACCATTTGGATCCAGGAGTTGAACTCAAGTCTTCAGACTTGCTGGCAAGGGCCTTTTACTTGCTGAGCCATCTTGCTGGCCCAAGTCTTTTACTTCTTTTGATGTTAAGATGTGAAAGATACTATTTACTGGAGCCCATTTTTCAAAAGGTCTTTTCATTTTATCACTTGACAATCTAATGGCCAAAATATAACTGGAAAGATACACTACACAGAAAAAAATACCCTAAGTCTTTTCTACATAGATTCATCTAATCATTTTAAATACTACCCTCTGGGGCTAGAGAGATGGTTCAGAGGTTAAGAGCACTGACTGTTCCTGCAAAGGACCCAGGTTCTGTTTTCAGCACCTACATAGCAGCTAACAATTCCAGTTCCAGGGGATCCAACACTCTCTTCTGGCTTTAAGAGAATTACATGCCTCAGGTACACTTACATGCAGGCAAAAAAAATTCATGCATATAAAACATAAGGCCGGGCGTGGTGGCACACGTCTTTAATCTTCGGAGGCAGAAGCAGATGGATCTCTGTGAGTTTGAGGCCAGCCTGGCATAGTGAATCCAGGACAGCTGGGGCTACAGGAAGACCCTGTCTCAAAAAGACCAAAAAAAAAAAAAAAAAAAAAACCCCAAAAACCCCACAAAACAAGAAATCCACCATCCTTTGATTATATCAAAAGCAGTGCTGAACTGCGTTGTCACTGCTCTTGGCACATGCTCTACCTCTGAACTTCACGCCTAGCCTTCCGAGCTGTATTTTCCTCGGTCAGCTTCTTAGTAAGATTTGTCACTGAATAAAAGTTTTACATCTGAATTAGGCATGGGCACTCACTTATAATCCCAACACCTGGATTGGAGCCAGAAGAATGCCAAGTTTGAGGCCAGCTGTGCTAGATTAAAAAAAAAAAAAATCTAGAGCCAGTGAAATGGTAAAGGTGCTTAGAGTCAAGCCTAACAACCTGAGTTTGATTCCTGGGACTCACAAAGGTGGAAAGAGAGAACTGATTCCATAAGCTGTGGCATGTGCTGTCCCCCAACACACATCACACACATAGACACACATTAAAAATAAAAATTTTGCATTTTAATTAAAACCAATTATCTTGATCCTGTGATGGAGCTCTACTGGAAAAGAATCCCCAACTACATATACCTTACTTAGATGCAGTGAGGGACATTAGAACAATATTATGATAATATTAATTATGAAAAAAATTTTAGCTTTTAAAATTATAACAGATTATTTTAGACCTTACTTATAAGGCATATTACAAACCTTAAAATTCATGTATCTTAAAAGAATAAAAGGACAATTTTTTGTTGTGCATAGAATTTATTTGGTACACCTATCAATTCTACAATAAACTGACCAAAAACATTCATATAGTGTCCACCTGCACTCTAAGTTGGAAATGATTTACAGGTTGAGCATTCTTAATCTGAAAATCCAAAATCTTAAAAGGCTTTAGAAACGAAAACTTCAGATTGCTAATATAACATGGAATATGGAAAATTCCATACCAGACCGAGTGGCAGGTCACAGGCAAATGCGAGTACACTAAAAAATATAAATTTATCTTTAGGTTATGTGTGTAAGGTTTACAGAGAACATCCCCAAGATATTTTATTGTGTATGTGAAAATAATTCTAAAATTTGGGAAAAACAATCGTAAACATTTCTGGTCCCAGGTATTTTAGATAAAAGATACTCAACATATATTCACCAGGTTACTTTCTAAGGTTAGAAAGAAAAAGTCACGATTTCTCAGTATTACTGAATACTTTTATCCTGAAATAAAATTAATAATTAGAGCATTCATTCCTCATTAGAAAATAGCAACATTACATTGTTAGATGTGTTATTAATATTGAAAACTTGGAAGACGACAGTATCAGTAAAATGAACACTCTTAGGAAACCCCCCATGTGCCTTCTCCAGGCGCCTTTCCTTGGAGATGAAATAAACTTGCTATACATCAGTCTTATATATTTACGCACCTTGGGATTTAAAGCATTTTTTTTTCAGTTTTATAATATATTCCTACTTTGAAAGGCAAAGCAAATGTAAAATATGAATGCAATGAAACCAATCACTGGCCTCAATACTTTTATTGCAAGAGTCTCAATGATTCAATACTATATTCACTTCCCTGAATGAATATGCTATAGGCTTGAACCAAAATACTTGCTTTTTTGTCTCAAAAAATTGCCTTAAAAAGTACCTCCTTTTGGAATTGTACAACTGCACATTTCATTGAGTGCTAAATAAACAACATGGTCCAGGGAGGTCATGTTAGAGTCATGAAGTCCAGCTTCTTGAATAACTGGTTCTACGAAACAATAAAAACCTTAAACTACCATAAAATATCACTGATATTATAGTCACATGGCTGTAACACGCCAATATAGCCAGATTATTTCATTATGTTTAAATTATTAATGTACAATCAAGTTTTAAAACCTGACAGTGAACTTTCCATTCTTTATGCAAAATTAAAAGCTCTAAAAGACCCTTTGAGTTCTATACTTCAGAAACATTAAAACACTATTAAGGCATTAATTAACAGACCCCAAAGAAAGTAATCAGAAAGTCTAGAAAGGAGAGCTAGTCATATTTTAAGGCAGTCAAAAGGGTTATTTTTTCCCCCCACTTTAAGGCTCTTAACTGTAACTTATTCTATGCAGACATTATTCTGGATAAATGAAAGCTCCATCAATTGGCTGATTACGGAAATGAACAAAGCAAATGGATAGTTCAGAAACAGACTGTAACACATCTATTCCCCCCCCCTTTTTTTTTTTAAAAAAAGATGATTTCATACATCTCGTTCCTTAGGAGAATTCTTGATTGTGAGAGGCTGGCAATAAAAGGAAGAAACTGTAACTAAAACATATTCCACAAGCTGTCTCGTCACATCATACCAAATACATAGTCTATATTTAGAATAGTGTAACAAGAACATTTTCTTCATGAGTGTCCATTCATTGTATATTTAAATTTTAATTTGGCCATAAAGGGGCTCCAGTTTACACTTCAAACAGCTTGAAGAGTCATTTAAATACAAGGTTTAATGTAACATTTGCACTTAAATAATCTGATTATATATGGTGATATGAAATATGTTCACTACATTAAACAATCCAAGTATATATATAGTAAAGTGAAAACAGCAGAAATCTTTTGCTGTTTCTTTTTTTTTTTTTCAGGTATGGATTCTGCTAACTTGTAAAAAGTGCAGTTCAGAGATTTTAAAATTAAAATTCACTTATGAAGGCAAAAAAATCTCCACAGGATCAGAAACAGCATTTGCATATCTTCATTATATTTACAAATCATTCTCACTGTAAATAACCACCTCAACTTCAGAACTAGACTCTTTCAACATTATCTTGCTTTCTATCATTTTCTAATATATCTTCTTGTTTTTAGGTTTAGGAATATGTGCCATTTATAATTTTATTCAAATAGTACACTTAGTGACATTACTGGTTTTCTATATGAAAAATACTTTATAATTAACTTTAGAATTAAGTTCATAATAATTTTCACAAGCAAATACAGTTACCAATTAAAACAATATTGAATGTCAATGTAAGTTATTTATACTAAAAGCTTATATGTGTGCATGTATATACTCAGTGATGACTTCAATAACCAAACAGTAGTCTTTATGATTATGGAAACATGAGGATACAGATGTCATCTTCTGAAAGAGTAGCCAATTATTGCAGTGCTCATGTAGCAGAATACCTCTTTTCAATGCAAGTACGTTTATCTCTAATTACAAACAAATCCTGAATAACTCATCTTATTGAATGGTCATAAAATTTCTGGAATATATACAGTATAACTTGATTTTGGAGGAAAATCTGTCAACTCAGTTATTACTTTAATAATTTGGAAATTATTTTCTTAAATCTGTGTAAAATAAAAAAAGAATCTGCAAAAGATCAATCTAAACCTGAACGTAGATGACTTTCTTGCCATTCATTTTATTATCCAATTAGATCAAACTAGAAAAAGGACAAAAATGTGAGAAGACTTTCAAAAGAAAAAGAAAACTAGGCCTAAAAGAATCTTTCCTGGAATGAGATGAAGGAGCAGGTATGAGGGAGACACAAGGCCAAACTCAAGCAGTAACTGCTGCCTTGCTTCACGGCAGCACCTCACACCTGTTCAGATTCTCACTTGTGTTCTTTATACTGAGTCTGTTTGACATTTCTCTAGAGGACAGTTTTCATCTTAATAAAATCAACCCATTTCAAGACTAGATTATTCATTTTTTAAATTAATTTAAAAAATATTTTATTATTTTTATTTTCTGTGTATGAACAATGTATTGCCTGCATGTATGTGAGTGCACCCGTGTTGCACAATGCTGCGGGAGGCAGAAGAGAGCTTCGTATTTCCCTGGACCTGGAGTTAAGGATGGTTCATAGCTGCCATGTGGGTGCTGGGAATCGAACCCAGTCCTCTGCAAAAGCAGTCAGTGCTCTTAACTGCTGAGCCCTCTCTCCAGCCCCAGATTGTTCATTTTTTAATTACTTTTACTACAAGTGTATCACTTACCCACTAACTCTGTGGCAGTATCTTTTTAAAAATCTTTTCTAACTTTTACATTTATTATTTTGTGTGTGAGTGTATGGATGCACATAAGTGCCATGGGGTAAATGTGGAGACATTTACTACAGGTACTGATTCTCTTCCTCTACTACATGGGTTCCAGGGATTGAACCCAGGTCATCAGGCTTGGTGGTAAGTATCTTTACTCATTAAGCCATCTTGCTATGGTAGTATCTTTAGGTCAAATGAAAAAGAAATATAACTTACAATGATTTAACCTTCGTTTCTTGCTTAGGCATAGCTTTACTGTACTTCTAAAGGTGTTTCTTAATGATTATAGCCTCAAATTTATTCCCGTATTCTGTTCTTTCCAAAAGAATTGAATTTTTCTAAAGTCTAGAAAAGTGAGACATAACCCTGCCAATAGTATTCTGTCAGTTGTAGACTTGTTATTTGAAAAGACTATTAAGCAGATGTTAGTAAGAGTATGCTGTTCTGAGTATGAGTTTTTCTGTCTTTCCAAAAGGATCTTGACTTGAAATATAGTTCTTTCTTTTTATCAGACAATAATGACATCTTAGTATTTTTAATTAAAAAGGAAATTTTAACTTGTATTGCAAGCCCTCCTTTCCAGTTTTAATTTTAGGTAAATATTAAGCTACTGATTCTATTATCTCCAAGCATAAGGGGTGTTACTTTGTGAACCTAGCAAGACTGAATCACATAAGTTAAACTGGTTCTCTATAAACACACAGTACATTTAAGAAAGCAAAAGAGGTTCCAAAGGGGTAATACTACATTCCATTCACTAGCATCCTGCCTTACTAAAACTCTCATAAAAAACAATCACTAAATAACAGTGTTAATAAATGGAATTTCCAAGAAATCACCACTAATAAAAAAGATTAGTGTTTTATCAATAACAACTGAAATCTGGAAATATTTACACATTATCTTGGAAATAAATTTATTTTTTAAGATTGTTTTTCAAAGTAGTATTTTCCATGATATTTATTTAACAGTAACCCTAAAAGTAATTTGGAAAGTAAAATTTGTTTACCATTTGAGTATATTCTATGCTTAATGAGGTAAAGTCTTTCTATAGGTCTATATTACATAGTTCTAATACAACATAACTGTGTTTGAGAATTACTACAAATTAAAAAATCATACATGTTCAACAATTTTCTAAAGCAATCATGCATATACATTATTTCCTAATATGTAACTAAGGTAAAAGACTGTGTGTTCCATCCCTGTGTATGTAAAAGGAAAGTTGGACTGAAAGGAAGAGGCTGAGCTTCCCAGGCTACATTGCCCCAGAATCATATGGTCCTAGACACTGGTTATCTAACCAAAATCAGAATGGTAGATTTAAAGATTCTAAGTTTCTTTCAGCTCTGAAGTTTAATGTTTTGAAAATAAAAATCACCTTCTTTTTCCTCCTTCCTTCCTTCCTTCCATCCATCCATCCATCCATCCATCCATCCATCCATCCATCCATCCATCCAAATCTATTTAATTAGGCCTACCTAAGTACTTCAAAAAGGTCACCTCTAATCTTATTTACCTGATGGATTAAATGCTAGCTCCTAGACATACTTTATTTACCTAAATGCACAATTTGAACAATATATAATTGAAAAAATAAGCTTTTATGTAATATTCCAAGTAGTATTTTAATTAGGATTAATAAGTTAGACCATATTATAATTACTAATTTCTGAAAATTCTGGGTTTAAAGGATTCAATAGCTCTCATGTAATTTAGGATGTTTAATGCTACAGTCAATTTTAACATAAAGTTTTTATATCTCAAAAGTAGTTAAGATACTAACCCCTCCTTGACAGAACATCAGAAGTAAGGCTCACTTGGAGTGGGAGGTGCCACTGTCTTTGCTGATCAAAAATGTCTCAGGTAAATAATGTTTAAAATTGCTGCCAGTTGTCTTGAAAGAATGACATATCAAACCACATTAATATGTCAAATACATCTGCTGGAACATTTTCTTATTCGCAGAGCCTAAATTTCTCAGCAGAAAATATGTACACAAATCCTCACACTACCAAAGTCCCCTTTGTCCCAAATATAAAACTTCCAATTGCCAAACTTAAGGTTATATAACTTACATTTACTAGTGTTTGATTTTTCACAGAAAGTGAGAAGGGCTTTATAAGCCCCTATTAAACCTTTAATATTTAAAGAGCAATGCATAAAAATTAAAGTTTTAATATAAACTACCATAGATACCATTATAAAATTATGAGAAAAGACACTGGCATTTCAATAGGCTGCTTCTATGCTAAACCTCCTAATGAAAACAAGATAATTGCTCAAGAAAGTAATGCAAGTTAGTATAATGAAAAGGAAGTCTAATATACCAAAAATATTTTAAAAATTTCCTACATGGACTAATTTAGTTCTTAGTTGGCTACTCTAAAATTGCCTTTAAACTTGAAGAACCTAGCTTTCTTTATTATTTCTTTATGTTATCAGAAAAAGTCTGTGAAAACATAATAGACAATGATATAGGACAGAGGAGACTACAGACATTTAATTAGAAAATACAAAAAATAGTTAAAGGTAATTTAAATTATTCCTATTTCAAGAGTATGAAGAAAGACACCTCTGTATAGTTGAAATTTTAATTGTTATATGTTCAAGATAATAGATGGGGAAACTAAATGTGTTAAACATTTAATTTTCATTTATGAATATGAAAATAAGAAAGCCTAACTACACCAAAAGATGCTGTAATTTAGAAGAAATGACTAAGTTCTATCTCTACTCATGGCAATAAAATACAATGAAACAAAGCAAATTCCTCAGCCTACAGGAAGGTAACCAAGTCTTTTAGGATTTTCCATCATGTTTTGGCCAAATGGTACAAATTCTACAAGTACAAATATAACACCTGAAATAAAAAATACCTTTTTCATGGAATAAGAAAGCTGTCGTTTATATGACCTTAGAAAACTCTGAAAGGAATTTGTAAAACTCATTCATAATTTAATCAAATGTCTTAGTTTTTTTTTACCCCTTGGTATAAAAGTTTACCACATGAGGTTCATCTTCTATCACAGTTGCATGGTCTAGTGCATTTCAGAGTATTTGGACGTCATCAAAGCTGTCCTTTTCCAATGAAAACATTTAAGAAAACAAGCACTTCTCAAACAAGAGACATGATGTGGGACTACTCACTCACACTTTTGTACTTAACACAAGTGAGATCCAAAAGTGTTACTTACCAAAGTAAAATGTGACTACTATACAGTGTCTCTAAGGACGTTTTCTATTAGAGGACGATGCTACAGTATCCTGAAGCTATTTCCCAAGAGCTAGCTGAATACATGTACCTTTGGGTCCAATGTGCTTTTCCTTCTGTCCTTGGCAAAGTATATTTCCATCTCACTGATCTCCACTTTTCAGTGTACTGCCGTTAGCTGGGAAGTAACTGTGTATGTTCTATGATATCCACTGACAGCAGTGGACATCTGAGATCATGCTGGTGCTTATAGTTAAATTATATCCAATGTGAAATTCCGAATTACATCCAGAGCACCAGTATCAAAGCCGCACATATCCAACATGCCTCTGTCATCTGGGTCTGCAATGCTAAAGCCATTTGATGTCATTCCACAAACTATTAATTTAGCTGGAATATCCATTTTCTGTAGAAAGAAAAAAAAACATAGGAAAGAGCAAATACATATAAAAATTGAAAGGAAAAACTAAACAAAAACCCTTCAAAATTAAGACTAAAATCTGTCAAACCTTTCTATGTGCAAGCTTCTTTTGGTCAATCTTTTTCTTTTTAAAAATTTTTTGATTTATATTTTATGGGTATGAGTGTTTTGTATGCATGTAAGTGTTTTGCATGCATATCTCTCTTTAATTCCTGCCCTACTTTTGTGCTGGGGATCCGATCCAGGACCTTGCAATTGCTAGGCAAGCTCTGTACCACTGAACTACTGAGCTACACTCCCAGTCTCAGTACTTCTACATTAAATTTTAAAGAAAATACCACCCCCCCAAAATCAATGAAAGGACACACTGTTAGAAACTATAATCAATCTATTAAATAATATACCTAATGTAATTGTTTTGCTTTACTTTTGAGACAGGGTTTCATGTAGCCCAGGCTGAACTCAAACGGTGTGTAGGTGAGGATGACCTTGAACTTCTGATCCTCCTGCTTCTACCTTCCAAATACTGACATTACACAGGCATATGCCACCAAGCCTAGCTTTATGGAGTGTTGGGGAGTGCCATGTATGCTAGGCAAGTACTAACTGAGCTACATTCCCAGCCTTCATTCATTCATTCATTCATTTATTTATTTAATTTGAGACAATGTCTCACTACATATGTAGCCCAGATTGGTCCTGAACTCCTTGTGTGGCCTAGGCTGGCTTCAAACTTGTGGTTCTTCTGTCTCAGTCTCTTGAGACCTAGGATCACAGACATAAGCTACCATGCCTAATATAACTGTTGTACTAACTTTAAAAGTTTAAGTACCATTACTTACTATGACATTTACCTGTTAACTAATTTGTTCAGATCCAAAACTAGCAGAAGAGACTCAGGACTAATCATTATTTAGACTGTTAGCCCAAATTCTATTCCCTCATGTATGGCTCTTAAAATTAAGCATTCATGGGAATCCTGAGCCCTACGGACAGAATCTGACTCAGCAGATGACAGATAAGGTCTGGGAATTCTGACATAGCTAGGAAAGCTGGTAGGAAAACCACACTTATAACATGGCTTGTTTGTGCTTCTCCTTACATAAGTCACATGTTAAGTGCTCTACAGTCCCATGTAATTAATGGTTCTCACATTGGACAGAGAAGCAATAGAACATTTTTATCATCTGAGAAAAGCCAATAAGGAAAAGTTTAGAATATAGATATAGAATGTAGACTGTAAGACTAACTTTAATTTTACGTAGTTCTTTAAACTCAAATGAATAATTTTTCAAGGAGTACAATGTATTATTTAAATATTTTATTATTTTTATTTTATCTGTATGTGTGTATTGCCTGCATGTATGTGAGTGCACCTGTGCTATGCAATGTTGAGGAAGTCAGAAGAGGGCTTTGGATGCCCCTGGAACTGGAGTTAAGGACAGTTCATAGCCTCCATGTGGGTGCTGGGAATCAAACCTGGGTCCTCTGCAAGAGTAGTCAGTGCTCTTAGCTGCTGAGCCATCTCTCCAGCCTCCCAATGTTATCATTTAAAAAAAAAAAATTGCTGGGCATGGTGGCACCTGCCTTTAATCCCAGCATTTGGGAGCCAGAGGCCGGTGGATCTTCTGAGATTCAGGCCAACCTGGTCTACATAGCAAATTCCAGGTTGGCTGGAGCTACAGGGAGACCCCATGTTAAAGAAAACCAAAAATGGGGATGGATGGTTCATCAGTTAAGAACACTGGCTGCTTTTCCAGAGATCTGGGTTCAATTCCCAGCATCCACATGGCAGCTAACAACCCATAATTCCAGTTCCAGGGGATCCGATGTCCTCTTCTAACCTCTGAGGGCTTTGCAAGACATGGGTGCACTTACATGTGGCAAAACACTCATACACATGCAATAAAAATAAATATTAAAAAAAAAACAGCTGAAGTTGAATAAATACTTTGGCGATTATCAAAAAGTATTAGGTAGGGGATTGGGGAGATAGCTCCTCAATTAAGTGCTCTGGCTGCTCTTGCAGAGGACCTGGGTTCAGTTCCCAGCACAGATGTGGTGGGTAACAACCTTTAAGACTGCCAGTTCCAGGGGCTGTAACGCCTGCTTCTGGCCACCATGGGCACTATATCACATGGGTGCACTTACATACATGCAGGAAAAACACTCACACAAGTAAAATAAAAGTAAATTAAAAAAAAAAAATGTGTTGGCATGGTTCAGAGTGGTGGTGCATGCCTTTAATCCCAGTACTCAGGAGGCAGGAAAAGGCAGATCTGGGTTCAAGGTCAGTCTGGTCTAGAGTGAGTTTCAGGACAGCCAGGGCTAGCTGCACAGTAAGACCCTGTCTTAAAAAAATAAGAAAGCAAAACATTATTGTTTGCAATGGAACTGGTTTAAGTAAATAATTCTGTGCCTACTTTTTATTATTTTTAAGTACTGTTGAGCCCAACTGGCCCAGGAGTTCTTAAAAACACACATACACCCCATACTGAAAGAGAAGGTTGTATCATTTGGGTGTCAAACAGTAACAGAAGAGTTTGCTTTACCTTTCGATACTCCTTCAGGGCAACAGCAGGATGGACATCCCCAGCAAAGGTTTCATTATCAGTGAATACTATGAAGACATCAGCAGCTGTGCTTGTCTTCTGGGCCCAGATCATTGGAAGAGAGCAATCAGTCTCACCTGCAGGGATCTGTCTCAGAAAAAAAAAGAATGGTAATACCAAAAAATTGCTTTAGTGTCTATCACATGCCTGAAATTATTAAATACTTAAAGGCATTATATTCTTAAAGTATCATTTTATTTAGAGCCAATACATAGGCTTTCTCTATGCTAGGAAATACACATATATTTGATCTAGTGCATGTTAGAAATTAGTACAGTTTCTTCTTACAAATTAATATTGTGCATGCCATAAGCACAAAATCTATACAAGACATGTTAAGTAAACTTAATGAAACAGTTTCTTACTTGATTCATGGCCACTAAAACCTGTGGTAAGGACATATCTATAGTCACGGGAAATGGAACCATTTCATCTGAAAAGGCAACTACAGAAGATTCTTTTTCTGTTCGTGTGACCACCTGAAAAATTCAATGTCATGATTTCAGCAGACTGGGGAGATATAAAGTCTCTTAAAGTTTATACAACTTTATCTTTGAAAGAAACACTATGGGATTTATTATTTCCAAGTTATAAAAATGCTACATCTATGATATTCCTTTGAGGCAAGTAAAGATACAGTCTCCTTATTTTACTAAATTAGGAATAAAGCCACAGAGGTGCAGAAGCGTGCCTCACTTGGTGCTCAATGATGGGGGTGATGGGTGATAACTGCAGAAAATAAAAACAATTAAAAATTGTACTTTTGTGTTTCAGAGTAGACTCTTTCAAACACTATTCAAGGGCCAGATGGCTCAGTGGGTAAAGGCACTTGCCATCAAGCTTGATGACCTGAGTTCATTTCCTCTAGCCCACATGATGGAAGGAGAGAACTGACCCCAAAAGTTGCCTTCTGACTGCCATACACCTCCCTCTCCCTTCCCCAACCTCTCCCACCACATACGCAATTAAATGAATAAATGAAATAAAAAAGCATTATTCCCAAAGTCTTACAGAGAAAGTGGTATCTACATCAATACTTTGAGGCAACTGTAAAGAAATATTCTTCTCATTTTACTAATTAGGAATAAAGCCTCAGCAGTGCAAAGCCTGCATCACCTACTACTCAGTGATGGGCGAGAACTGAAATTTCCTAGTGCCTATTATTAGTTTCTTGATTTTTTAAAAACTTGTTTATCATTAAATTTTTTTCCTAAACATCATCTATTTCTCCAAATACTAGTGACATTTAATCTTTTGTTATAAAATTTAGCAGCTCAATTCTGATCATTCTTTGGACATGCCTTTTCAGTACAATTAAAACTTTGTTTTATTCAAGTGTGTTTAGATACAAAATGATGAATGTCACATAAGTTGAAAGGACAAAATAAGTGAAAACCAAGTTCTTGATGATACTGAACTCTACAGTTTCACTCTGCAGTAAGCATTTCTGGAGGGGTGGAAGCTGGAACAGTTCTAGGTGATCTCACCATGCACATTGCTGCAGCAACGGTACTAGCGTTGAGTATACTACCCAAAACTTTTTGGTTCATAGAAGTACTGACATCAACAGCTAGCAAGAAACGCTTTCCACTCGGCTCAACAGTCTAAACAGAAAACAAAATAATCATTAAAGAAGACAAGGAAATTATAAGTAGAATAAATCACAAAAAATCATATTTCCTTATCTTTCAATCAAAAGGCTCCCAGAAAAAATGCTGGATTATTTTGGGGGGGGGGGGGCTGGAGAGATAGCTCAGCAGTTAAGATACTGGTTGTTCTTCCAGAAGACCTGGGTTCAAATCCCAGCACCCACATGGCAGCTAACAACTTTGTAACTCTGACAGCCTCTTCTGACCTCCGCAGGCATTGCACGATATGGGTGCACTTACCTACATGTAGGCAATACATGCATACACATAAAACAAAGAAAAATAATAAATAAAAATTTTTTTTAAAATGCTGGATTTTTGAATCACAAATTAAATGACTACTATTTAAAAGTGCTTAACACTTATTATTGATAAAATGAGGAAACAAAGTAATCTATTTAATAATATTACTTAAAGAAGCTATGCTCCTATATTTAAAAAACTTTTTTCATGCTGAGTGTGGTGGTGCACACCTTTAACTGCAGCACTCTGGAGGAGGAAGCAACTGATCTCTGTGAGACTGATGCCAGCCTGTCTACATAGTGAGTTCCAGGTCAGGTGGGGCTACAGGGGGATCTTGTTGCAAAAAATGAAACAAAATGAAACATACTTTTTTTCACTGAAGTAAAACAAGAATTTCTAGGAATTTTTTTTTTAACTGTGGTAAAAGATAATCACAAAATTTACTGTTAAACCTTTCTTTTTTGGTTTTTTTGAGACAGGGTCTCCCTGTAGCCCCAGCTAAACTGAACTCACTATATAGACCAGTCTGGCCTTGCTCTCACAGAGCCCACCTGCCTCTGCCTTTCAGGTGCTGGGATTAAAGGTGTGTGCCATGCACCACCATGCCTGGCTCTGTGTTAAACCATTTTAAAGTGTGTAATTCAGTGGCATTAAATATATTCACAATGCATAACCATGGCCTCTATTTCCAGAAGATTCATTATCATGTACAGAAAGTTTATTAAGCAGTAACTAAGTTTATTAGCAGACCAGGCAAATCTTCTGTTAGTCCTTGCACTGTCTATACTTTTTCTGGTACAGCAAAAGTACCCCACATAACACAGTCATAGAATGCGCCTGGATTATCTCCACCTTCTGGCTATTGTGCATGATGCTGTCATGAACACTGGTCTACAAATACATGGTCTAGCACCTCTTTTTAATCCTTTGGGGCATATCACAGAGGTAGAATTGCTGGATAACATGGTAATTTTATGTTTTGTTGTTGAGACAGGGTGTTCCTATATAGCTAGGCTGGCCTTGAACTTGTGGCAATCTGACTGCCATGCCTCCCTCTACTCCCAGTATAGGAATTAAAGGCATGTGCCACTATATCTAGTGTTCTATGTTTAATATTTTGAGCCTGTTTTTTTTTTTTAACCCCCAGTGGCTACTTTTTACATTTTCATCAATAATACACACAGATTCTGATTTTTTCACATCCTTCCCAATACTGGTTACTTTTTGCTTTTTTTTTTTTTTCCCCTAGGTTTTTTGAGACAGGTCTCCCTGAGGCTACAGAAGGCCTCCACCTCAGAGATCTGCCTGCCTCTGCCTCCTGAGTGCTGGGATTAAAGGCATGTGAAACAATGCCTGGCTTACTTTTTGCTTTAAAAAAATAAAACCAAACATTTTTATTTTGTTTTGTGTGTACGCATGTATTGCTTGAATATATGTAAGTGCACCCATACTGTGCAATGCCCTTGGAAGTCAGAAGAGAGTGGTGGACCCCCTAGAACTGGAGTTCTTAGTTGCCATTTGGGTGCTGGGAACTCAACCTGGGTTCTCTCCAAGAACAGTCAGTGCTCTTAATCACTGAGCCATCTCTCTAGCCCCTATTTTTGATTTTTAAAAAAAGACTTATTTACCTAATTTTATGTACATGAATATTTGCCTGCATATATGTATATGCACCACACGCATGCAATGCCCACAGAGGCTAGAAGAAGGCATTAGATCCCCTTGAACTGGAGTTATAAACAGTTGTTAGCTGCCATGTGGGTGCTGGAATAGAACCTGGGTCTCTGCAAGAGCAGCCAATGCTCTTAACCATTGAGCCATCTATTCAATTAGGTACAAAGTGGTATCTCATTGTGGTTCTGATCTGCATTTTCTTGAGGACTAAAGCACCTTTTCATGTCTTATTGGTCACTTATGTAATTTTTGGAAAAATACTAATACTTCATCCATTTTTAAACTGGCTTATACTTTTGCTATTGAATTAGGGGGCATTTTACAGTCTGGTTAAACTCTTATCAGAGATATAATATGCAAATATTTTCTCCCATTATGCAATACTTTTCCCACTTTCTTTATGTCCTGTTAATGCACACAGGTTGTACATTTTGAAGTCCAATTCATTTAATTGTTGTTTTCTGTGCTTTTGGATTTTTCTAGTTTTTAGCACTTAAAATTTGGGCCACTGATCTATTTCGAAATAATTTTTGTATGCTGTCCAACTTGCTCCTTCTGAATGCAAATATGCAGTTTTACAGCATCATTTCTTGAAGACTGTCCTTTCTAATTAACTAACCCTGGAATCCTTCTAAAAAATCAACTGCCCATATGTGTCAGTGTGTTTCCAGCCCCCATTCTACTCCTCTGGTTTTCATATCTCCCTTTGACAGTAGTGCTTCTGCACTGCCACTTTGTAGTTAAGTTTTGAAATCCACACACATGAGTCCTCCAAATTTGCTTTTTCAGATTTATTTGGAGTCACTTGAAATTTTATATGAATTTTTTCTTTCTGCAAAACATGTCACTGGGACTTCGAAAAGGATTGTGTCGATTGCTTTGGATTATATTGTCACCTTAACATTGTCTTCCAGAGTAGGCACATGGAGGTCTTTCCATTTGTCTTATTCTTTCAGCAACATTTTAGTTTTCAGTGTACAACTGTGCCTAGCATTACTGTTTATTTCTGTCTTTTTGTATGCTACTATAAATGTTAGTATTTTTTAAATTTCCTTTTCAAACTGTTCATCAATACTGTATAAAACTGATTTATTTGGATTTACTTACTTTTTTTCCCCTTCAGTTTTCTGAGACAGGGTGTCAGGTGGCCCAGGATGGCCTTGAACTTGCTATGTTGTTGAAGATGACCTTGAACTCCTGATCCTCGTGTCCACTTCCCAACTGCTAGGATTACAGGTATAGTTCACCATACCTGGTCCACCTGATGATTTCTTTGTTTAATGCATTGCTTTTTATCCTACATTTGTACTATGTTTTAATGTGTGTGTGTGTGTGTGTGTGTGTGTGTGTGTGTATGCGTGCATTTTTTAGGGTTTTCTACATATAAGAATGATCATGAACAATTTGGATGTTCATACTCCTTTTTTCTTGTGTAATTATTACAACCTTCTGAACTATGTAGAATTGAAATGGAGAAAGTGAATATCCTATTCCTGATCTTATGGGAAAGCTTTTTATTGTTCAGTATTGAGTATGATGATATCTATGATTTTTAAAAAAACATGAACTTAATTATGTTGAGGGAGTCCACTTCTATTTTATTATTAAGTATTTTATTGATTTTGTTTTGTTTTTTAAAATCATGAAAGGGTGTCAAATTTTGTCAAATGCTTTTTTGGCATCAATTGAGACTAAGGTCTGCCCTTTGACTGACTGGGATTATATTGACAGGTTGGTTTTCTCATGTGGAAACATCTAAACATCTTTTATACAGCAGGGATAAATGTCACTTGGTGATTATTTATACCCCTTTTAATTTGCTGTTGATTTTTGATGCTAGGTTTTGTTGTGTATCAAGAAAAAGCATGCCTTTAATCCCAGCCCTTGGGAAGCAGAGGCAGACAGATCCCTGTGAGATTGAGGCTGGCCTGGTTCACATAGTGGCTTCCAGATGGACTGGGACTAGGGAGACCCTGTCACAACACAACAACAAAAAACAAATGAAAAAAGAGAGAAATAATTGAAATAAAAAAACTTGAGGGCTGGGAGATGGCTCAGCAGTTAAGAGCACGGGCTGCTCTTGCAGAGGACCCAGGTTTGATTCCAGCACCCACAGGGTGGCTATGAACTATACTAAACTTCAGTTCCAGAGGAATCTGAAGCCCTCCTCTGACCTCCATGGCTTTGCACAGCATGGGTGCACTCACATACATGCAGGCAATACATGCATACACATAAAATAAAAATAATAAAACAAAACAAAACAAAACAAAAAACCCTTGAACTTAAAGCTCTGATTGGGATTTTCATCTTGAAAAATTGATTATCGTAAGACTTCAAATCTTGGTCTCCAATACTGTAGTGCCCAGCTATGGGAGACAACCAGTTGTTGTTCTAAAATGATGGATAAATTTGTTTTTCTCTCCCTATCTAGAAGCCTTGGAGAGGGAACTGATGCTGATTCTAACCATTCCAACTATCAAAATACCTGAAAGCAAATCCTGAATCCATCATTCTAGAGTCCAGCCTTGGAAGACAAAAGAAAAATGAGGAGGGATGCTTTTGGAAGCTCTTGTCAAGAAATTCCAATGGACTTTCATATGAACATTTGAAAATTGCTCTGTTCTGACTTTTTTCTAGTTCCCTGTCTAGAACTTGTAATGCTAATTACTCTTGCCTTTACTTCTCCTTCACATCTCCTATTCACTAGTCAAGGACTTTCTTTTTCCTTCAGAGATCAGAGTTGTGCAATTTGGGAGTCTTTTCAATAGACCCACTGAAGGGGGTTGCCTCACGCTGCATCCCTGTTCAGCATGGAAGAAGCCAGAGAGGTCTGTGTCCCAATTTCCTATTGGCAATTTGGGTAACCTCTTCAGAGGATGGTGTGATAAGAATAGGAGGTAGGAACTGGCTAGGCAGTTAGTATAAAAAGACCCCAAAGAAAAGTAGCCAGTTTCTTGGCTAAAACTCACAATGTCCTTGGGCCTCTTAGCAACATACTCTGTTCCAAAGGCCAAAAATGTCAAAAGTATTTGGGAGCTTGTATCTAATCCTTAAAAGATTTTACGGCTACCTCTTCAGAGGGAGGAACGTTAGAGTAGCTAAAAGCCCCATAAAAATAAATAAGTCAAAGAAGAAGAAAGAGTACATGAAGTATTCTTTTGCATTTCTGTGGGATCATCTGACTTGTTCCTCTTTTCTGTTTTCTTATTTATTGGTAGGTGAGTCATCAATAAATCACTTATCACTTATCAGAAAAAAGTGATGGGGAGATATGGGAGGAGTTGGAGGGGAGGGAGTGGGCATGGATTTGATCAAAACACCTTATGTGAATGTTATGAAATTCTTAATAAATTAGTTACTTAAAAAAAAGAAAGATTATCAAGACTGATGAGACCCATCTACCAATAAATAAGAAAACAGAAAAGAGGAACAAGTCAGACGATCCCACAGAAATGCAAATTCTCAAATTTAGTAATTTATCAAAATGATCTTAGAAATTATCAAAATGACCTTAGGATAAGTAGTGGCTACTCAAAAGTAAGAGACTCATGCATCAACTAGAACATTAATTCTGTGGTCACTTTCACACAAATTAAAGAAAAACAGCACTGCCATTAGAATGTGTTCTCACAAAACATAGTAACCCATGAATTTTTTTTTACAAAAAGCAAAAATAAGCCAGGTATGATGGCGCATGCTTTTAGTCCTAGCACTCGGGAGGTAGAGGAAGGTGGGTCTCTGAGATCAAGGCTAGCCTGGTCTACATAGTGAGGGCTAGGCCAGCTGGGGCTAGAGGGAGCCCCTATCTCAAAAAGGCCAAAAAAAAAAAAAAAAAAAAAAGAGCAAAAATAAAACTATTACCTTAAATGTTTTATAAAAAGCAGCATCCAAAGCTTGCAAAATTTCTTCATCCGGCTTCCATTTCAGTTTTCCTCTGAGCCCATGACCTGTCTTGTAAGTTTCTAATGCAATTAAAACATGAAATGGATGTATACGAGCCTAGAAACAAGAAAAGACAGACGGTAACTGCAAAATTCAAATAAAATGTAGCAAGGTGGGTCTTCTTTAGATTTTTATGTTAGAAGTAATAAACATTTAATAAAGAACAAGTATTAACAGACTAAAGAATCAAACTGCAATTTGTCATGAGAAAAATCTTAGAATACTTGAGAGCCAAGTTTTTAAAGTTAGTAGCTAACAAAGGCCACTGATAAGGCATACCTTTTTAAGTAGCTTTTCATCGCACAGTTTTTCACATACTAAAGATACTTCAGAATTTCCTTGCTCAAGCACTGAATTAGCAGTCATCTTTCCCAGGTTCCTTAGCAAAGCAGTAAGTGGCATCTCTTGTAACAAAGCCTTCCATACCTACAGGAGGAAATATAAAAATTGAAGGGGAACAGCACAGAGAGAAATACAAAAAATTGAGGGGAATCAGTATAATGTCTGTATCAACAATATTAGAAGTATATTCTGTAAAATTTTTATTTAGGGCTTAATGTACTTGCAGAATGACAACCTATCAAAGGCTTATGAAAAAGCCAATCTGTTATTAGAAAGTAAAGCATATTTATGGAGGAAATTCATGAATCTCTGAAAAAAAATTTTAAAGCAGCATTTTTTGTGTGTGTAGTAGAACCAACCCCAAAACTACTACATTTGGTATCATGTTTGTGGTGAATAGTTATAATAAATATTAATTTAAAGATATATTTGGCTAATTCCTGCTTTTTCTTTTCATGTATATGTGCATGGTGTGCATGCATATGTGTTGCAGGTGTGTGTACAGCACTGAGGTTGATCTGGGAATCTTCCTTAATAGCTCTTTACTTTTTCTTTTTGAGGCAGGGCCTCTCATTGAAACCCAGAGCTCCTTGTTGTATGATATGGCCAGTCCTGCTGGCCACCTCGCTCAGGGGATCCCATCTCAGAATCCTGTGTCTGCCTTCTCACCTGGCATTTATGTGAGTTCTGGGCATCTGAACTGTGGCCGGCCCATTCTTGCTTGCTTGTGCTGCAAGTGCTTTAATAGTTGAACCATAGCGTCCTTCTCTTGTTTTTGGTGGGACTGGGGACTGAACCCAGGGCCTGGCACCTAAGGTTTTTCTCTTTCGAAATAATTTACTCACCTCTTTAGACTTCAAGTGATTTGTTAGCAGATGTTCCCTAACTAATCTGTGTTCTTCTATTAGATGAATGACTTCCAGTTCATCTTTTGTACGTTTCACTTTCTCTACAGCCTCCAGATACTTTAATAATTTTTCAGTCTCCACAGAAAGTGCTTTTTCTTTATACAGTTCATGGACTTCTTTCCAACCCTTTGTAATATATTTGGTCACAATAGCAAGTCCTTTAACAAGATAAAGCATTGAAAAGGCAAGTAGGATTACCAAGTGAAAAATAGACATTTCTCAAGAATACATCATGATCCAGCTTAACCAGATAGACAGGAGCTGACTCCCTTAAAGTGGGATGCTACTCTCTGTTACATAACAAACACATTTAAGCAAATGGTGTGAGGGAATTTCACTTATTTCACCATTACTCTCTAGGTATGGGGGGAGGGGGAACCAAAACCTTCAAAGTCTAAGTAATTGTCTTAAAGAGGCATTTTTGATACTAGCATTAGAAACTTCATAGACAATGCCCAGTTCAGGGCCATAATCTCACAACTCACAGGAGCACAGATCTATTCCAAATAATAGCATACTCATTTGTCCTTCTGCTTCTGAGTAAATATGCATTTATGAAAAGTGGAGAACAAGTATGGACAGGTAATTTGATTGTTTAATAGCAGAAATTATTACAACCCAGTTAAAAAAAAGGAAAAGAATTTTTTCATCCTTTTAATAATTTGTTTACTAGGAGAAAGAAGTTTGGAGTGAGAACATCTGTGTACTAGCCTATACTCTGTTGATGTCTGTTTCTCTAGCTCTTAGTCTCTAGATGTGTAAGGGTGGAGATTAACAAATTCAAATGATCATAAGAGAAAGACAGGTAAAATACAGAAACAGGCCATGGTGATGTCCATTAGGACCTTTGTGAACAGAGCCCGTGTACTGACATGTGTTTTTGCCATGCATTGGCTTAGTGCTGCCAAAAACTGGACTTTCAAGAACAGTCTTGAGCCAGGTCTGGTGGCACAGGCACTGAGTTCAAGACCTAAATGAATTACAAAGTGAGTTCAAGGGTGGGAGATACAGCTCAGTGGCAGAGAATTTACCAAGCATGAATGAGGCCTTCAGTCTAATACTGGTAGCTCAAAATAAATAATAAAAAATATTAAAGGGGTTGGGATATAGCTCAGTGCTCTGTAGAGTTACTTGCCTAGCATCTGTGAGACTCTAGTTTCAAACCCCAGCATGTACCATGATCAGCTGATTTGAAAAAAGGTCAGAATATGGATTTTTATATGAAGTCTTCTGTTTTTTTAAAAAACATACTGGCAAATCACTTGGTTTCTTTTTTTAACCCCCTATAATGTTTTTTTTATAGGCTAAAGAAAACATATCTCTGGGTAAAGCTGAGTCTATGTGCTGGTTTTAAACTCTAATTTAGATAATTTCATCAGAAATTAATACTAACATGCAGAAACTTCTATGGTATTATGACTTTTGCTATCTTATAGATTTAAATATAAAATTATTTTAAATGATTGTATATCTCACATAGGAATGTCTGCTCTATTTTTCCAATGAAAATAAAAATTCCTTAAAGTCAAAGGTACATAAAAAAATACCTGATTAGAATAATTACATTTTGACTTGTTTTGTCTGTTATAAACACACACTAACATAATACTCAGCAGTTTAAGGTTGGTTTAAATTTCTTTTCAACAGAGCTTAGGGAATCCTGTATGGTCAATATAATATTACTGCCGTCAACAAAACTTTAGCATGAGCTTTGCCCCAGCAACTTAGAAGGAAAGAATTTTATATGTGGGAGTAAGTTTAAGGACCATCTTCTAATTGAACTTTATAGACTGAAAATAGAAAGCTCAGAATAATTGCATCCTCAACACAAATGTGTTCCATTACAACGAGGAATAAGGGGTCTTTCTGTCGCTCGGTACTTGTTCCATACTACAGGCAGTGTCAGCAAACAAAATATAAAGCTAGCTGCTGATATCCATTTCATATTGGGTCAGATTTTAAAGTTAAAAAAAATTTTATGAAAAATCACACGTATTTTTATGATTTTAGGATGGAAACAGATTTTTGAAACCTAACACAGAACCCCAAGGAAGACACAAGTAAATCTGATTGCATTAAAAGCTCAAACTTTAATATGCCAGTAACAGTCTCTCCCTCAAAAAAAAAAGACAGAAAAAACTGGACTATGTACAATGTATATAATAAAAAATTACTAACATCTATAAACATGTATCCCAAGTTCTTAGAAGGAAAATGTCCATCAATAGTAGGTGCTCACTACATACTTGTTCAATGAAAGACTGGTGACCATAATCAATATTAAAAAATAGAAATTAGGGGCCGGAGAGGTGGCTCAGCAATTAAGAACATTGGTTGTTCTTGCAGAAGACCTGGGTTTGAATCCCAGCACCCATATGGCAGGTAACAACTGTCTGTAACTCCAGTCCCAGAGGATCCAACAGCCTCTTCTGACCTCCGTAGGCATTGCACAACACAGATGCACTTACCTACATGCAGGCAATACATGCATACACATAAAATAAAAATAATAAATAAAATTTTAAAAAAGTAATTAAATAAACAAAAGGGAAAAGATACAATATAATCTACACATATACACAAAAGATACAAATTATCAGCAACCATATAAAAAGGTGGGCTGTGGCTCAAAAGTGTAAATCCCAAAAACAAGATTTGATTTTTCACCCATCCTATTGGCAAAGATAAAATAACACTGACAACAGTCTGTTCAAATGCAGAGGACTCAGAGACCTTCCCTACTGTTTGAAGACTTAAACTGGAAGGCACTTAACAGTCACCAATAGGAGACCAACTAAATAATTTACAGTATATCATGCAATCAATATTACACATGTACCTATTTCTATCAGCCTGAAAAATAGCAATATTCTTTAAACTGAAGCAAAGATGATATGTAAAGTTTTTTTTTTTTCTTTTTAAGTAAAACAGTATGTCCAGGAAAAATCTTAAATAATACAAATTAATCTGTGATTATTTTTGAAGTACAGAACTCATACTTCTGTAATAATTTTTCTACATTATTCAATTATTTTTTATTTACTTTTTGAGACAGGGTCTCACTGTGTAGCTCAGATTGGCCTAGACCTAGAACCTTTCTTCCTCTTACCTCAGCCTTTCTGGTGCTGAGATTACAGGCATGTGCTGCCATGCTCAGGTTATTCAACTGCTTAGAGACATGTACGCTTTAATAAATAAGAGAAACGGTGTATATAAATATCTGCAGTGATACATTGCTTATATTTCACTTGAAAGATCACTTCTAGACAAGTGATTGTACCAAGACAATAAATTAGAGATTACTGAAGTTTCTCTGCATAAAGCCACTGTAATATAATACATGTGTGATGGGGTGAAAGGACCAATAGACATTCTCACTACATGGTAGGAATTGGGTATGCTAAGGATTTCAATGTATATTTCATTTAGTCCCCCAAATTCTAAGTTTTATAACTCTTTACTCCCTTTTTAATAGAGAAAGGAACTAAAAACTCAAAGATTAATTTTCTTGGTTAAAGACATAAAGAGTAGAAAATGTAAAAATTTGAGTATGTTGATTTTATACTTTGTTATTAATGCTTAGGTTTTAATTTCCCCTCTAAGACTAGTGATTATTGTAGGTGTAACTAACTTCTCCAAAGTCTCTTCAGACAATTCATGTTCCAAACTGTTCAGTTCAGCACTAGTTTGGGTGGCCTTTAGGTTCCATGGCAGGTGTTCTCTAGGAAGAGTGGGAAAAAGCAGCCGACTAGAGTAGTGCAGCTTTGCTCTCTGCTCCTGTTATAAAGAAGCTGTTTTGGAGTGGGACGTGGTGATGCAGGCCTTTAACCCCAGCAGAGGCAGGCAGATCTCTGGGGGATCAATGCCAGTCTGTTCTACATGGTCAGTTCTAAGCCAGTTAGGGCTACTGGGAGACCCTATCTCAAAAACAAAAATACCCAAAACAATGACAAAAACCATCCCACCAAAAACTGAACACTCAAAAAAAAAAAGAAGCTACTTAGCTTACTCAAGCTCTGATTTCTTGTCCATGCTACACTCACAGACCATAATCATGTGATGAGCATTCTTGTTAATGTGACCACATTTGAAGATTTAGGATATTAACTTGTGAATCTGTCATGATTCTTGATGAGTAATGTCTTGACTACCTGTGGCAGGTATTTAGTTTCAGGCTGGCATTAAATATGTCTAAATTAATTAATCAACAATATATTTTATCTAAAAAGCTAATTCTAGAAAAGAGCTCTATCAAATGAAAATTTGGTATTTGTTCTATAACCCCCTAAGCTTACCTTCAGTGGATGGTTTAAGATGGGACAGTCTTAAGAGATCTTTGTGAGACCAGCCATTTCTTTGTTTATATTTTGTAATTGCCAGAGCAACTGCCATTCCACCCTTTTCATTATACCAGTCTGCAACAGCCTTCCGGAGAGCACGACCCCACATGCCGCATTTCATGCTTTCCTTCAGATCTTTCTTAAACTGGATGAAAGTAAAGAGGTGGGTAGGAATGCGACAGACTTCAGAAACAGCTTTAAATGCTGCTTGCTTTGTGTTTATGTCTGAACACTGGGAACAAATGGCAAGTGCAAACAGCAAAGGCTCTTGCTTTGCAGTTCTGCCTTCTTGACTAAATGACTTGATTTCCTCAATCACTTCATTTCCTCTGCCATCGTCAATCAATCTAATTAAAGCTTCAGCATTTTCAAGGCCTAGCTTCTGCTCTTTGATATAGTAAGTGCCACCTTCTGAACCAAAACACAAGAACCGGTGTAGCCGATTCATGTCAGTGACTTGCCATACATATCCACCTTCAGAATTGGCTATTTGCTTCTCACTCAGTGGCTGCATTTGGTTTGCAGATGCTTCCATTTTTCTTGTCGTTTAGGAAACCTATTAGAAAGGCAAAAACCTTATTACAAGAAGATGGAGGTAATACAATTTTATACAGTAAAACAATATTTATTAATCTATGCTTGCTGAAGTCTGCTATGTATTGTTTTAATTCAAAAATACTTTAATCTCGGTAAATTTTTCTCTTTTTAAAAAGTCAAAATAAATGTCTTTAAGCTAAAACTTTCTATGGCAGAAAAGAAAAAAACAAAATCACATGCAACCATTCAATAATTATAGTAATACCTTATGATTTTAAATTTTCTTATATACTCATATTTTTATTATCTAGGGAAACCCCACATATGTCAAATAAACTAGATTATAGTCATAGTAACATGGTAACTAGAAACAACTTAGGAATCAAAATTTTTAAAAGATTTGTTTTTATTTATGTGTGTGTGTGTGTGTGTGTGTGTGTGTGTGTGTGCGCGCGGCGTGCATCTGACTGTTGAGGACAAAAGAATGTATTTGATCCCCTGAAGCTGGAGTTACAGGTGGTTGTGAGCCACCTGATATGGTTGCTGGGAACAAAACTCAGGATCAGTTCCCCTAGAGGAATAGCAAGTGCTTTTAAACCTGAGGTAGAGCCCCATCCCCAGGACTTCCATTTTTGAGGTACATTACTTCCAAGATTAAGCAAGTAGGTCAGTGTGAGATCTTGAGGTCCAGATAAGGACACATAGAAAGGGAGCAACTGTATCTGACAGTTGCTACTTCCTAAAGAACTGTGTATTTCTGGTCATTTACCACAAGGGACCACAGGAAGAGAATCTGGGGAATTAATGGTTGGTAATCTCAAATACTTGGGGATCATCACGTAAACAAGATGGTAGGAAAATAACCATTAGGCCTGGCAAATCAGAGCAACCAGGAAATCCAAGTAGAATGGAGAGGAGTAAGTAGGCTGAGGACAGTGAGATCAGGAGAGTCTTCAGTAAGGAAGCAACTTTGCAGATCTGTTACTCTTCTACAGAAGCAGTTATAAGCTATGTAGGAAGTTATACAGTATATAATTTTGTCTTCTTCATGTATATGACACTGAGGTTGAGGTTTGAAGATTCAACCTGGAGAATTGATGACACAGTAGAGAAAGGGGATAACTGTGTAAGATTCCTGAAGGAACTAGGATAGAAAAAGCTCAGAGCATCTAAGTTAAAATGGGGCTATGGAGAGCAAAAGGGAGATATCTTCTGACTTCTGAGGGTAAAAGATCCATACAGAAAGAGATTTGGGAGTGATGAGAATAAGGAAATTCCCCTTTGACAGATGATGCAGAGTTTCGAATGGTAAGTGGAAAAACTGGGTTGCTATGGAAGCAATGGAAGAAAGCCTGGCATTAGACAAAAGACACCGGTGTAGGAATGAGTGCATGAGAATGGAGCGTCTGACATTCTCACCGTGACTGACCTGAATCTAAGTTGGAAATACCAGTGTCACTATTTCTAATAAAACTTGCATGAATTTACTTATGTTAGGGCAGGGGTACGTCTCAGAGACAATGATCATTTCAGTGATTAGGAAATGGTTTTTAGTTTCAGAAGACAGGCTGAACTTCTTGGTGGTTTGGAAGTCTCTTTTGTTTATTTTACCTATTTAATTTGCCAAAAAAAAAATTTACGAGGACTAATAGCATCTTCAAAGACTAACACCTAAACTGACATTTGTGGTGGAACCTTCCATTTATTTTGATCTTTATGATATATTTGGCATTGCTAGCCTCTTCTTAGCTTTCAAAAACGTTCTGATGGAACTTCAACTTACTTTACCTCATTCATTATATGTGTTAGTTGGGTAACATTGAGCTGACATTCAACATTACATCATTCTACTATACCTGCTTTCTTCCCCCAAAGTTCAAATGCTGGGACTTAAAGATCCCAGCCCAAACTTCAAATATACCCCACTTATTCTTTCCCCCTGTTACTCATCATAAGCATGTTTAGCTACAGCACTGGCTTCCTAGAGAGCAAGGACCAGGCTTTATTATGTTAAAATTGCTCTTCTATATCTAGACCATCACTGCTAAGCGAGTATTGCATACTTAAGGAAATCTAAATAGCATTAAGAGTGATTTTGTGAACTATTTAAAAATTATTCACAATTGATTTTTCTTTCCTGTAATTCATTTATTTTGAAAAGGCTTCAACATGTGTGATAAAAAAGTTACTGGGCCCTGGAGAGATGGTTCAGTAGTTAAGAGCACTGGCTACTCTTGCAGAGGACCCAGGTTTGATTTCCAGTATCCACATGGTAGCTAACAACTGTCTTTAACTCCAGTTCTAGGGGAATCCAATGTCCTCTTCTGACCTCCATGGGCACTGCACGATATGGGTGCACTTACATACATGCAGGCAATACTCTCATACACACAAAATAAAATAATAAACTATAAAAAATTTACTTACAAATAAGCCTTCATGATAAATTCTGTAATCAACAAAATAATAAAGACACTATATGTAGGAAGTACAATCAAGAAGAAAAGGTAAAGTAATAGAAACTGTGCAAAAATGTTGGCCGAGAGCAATATTTCTCTCATTTTGCTCCAGAAGATCAATTTTTAGTGGAAATGGGAACTCCTAGTCCACATGAGTCTACAAAAAAGTCCTTCCTAATTTAAGCCTTATTTTTATAAAAAGTAATCGATGCAAACCAGGCAGCTGTTCTCTCAGTTTCCTCCTTTCCAGCTCACAAAATTTACTGCTTTGCTAATGTACAAGTGAGACCACTCTATTTTATAGATTAAAGTGCCACCCAATTCTAGAATTGCAAAGACAAGATGCTTACATTTGCTGTGATTTTTTGTTTTAACACAAGAAATCTATATTCATAGGATTACCAATGGGCTCTTCCCTTTGCATCTTATATCAATGACACTCAAAAAGACATGCTCTTTCAGCATTTCATCAGCAGATATGGCTTAGCTTTTCATATGCTTCTCTGATCCTACTTTACAGGGTACAGTATAATTTAGTTGAACAGACTGAGGCAGGATAGAAAGACATGGAAAATTAAGGAGACACGAAAAAGGGAGAGTCCTTCACTTCTCTGGATTTGCCTTATGCCTCTCATTGGCTGTCAAGAACTTTGCACAACTCATCAAACTATTTTAAGAAATATGAGCAAGCCCCAGAAATCTCTTGCCTTTACCTCCCCAATGCTGGTGTTGCAGACCATACTTGGCCTTTTTACACAGATGCTGGGGAGTCAATCTCTGGTCTTATGTTTGTGTGGCAAGCACTTTACTGACTGAACCATCTCCCTACCCCTTATCTTTTTCTTTCTTTCTTTCTCTTTCTTTCTTTCTTTCTTTCTTTCTTTCTTTCTTTCTTTTCTTTTCTTTTCTTTTCTTTTCTTTTCTTTTCTTTTCTTTAAAAAAAACAAACAAACCTCTAATTAGGTTTTACACTGACTCATCTGGAAATTTTTTTGTGTGTAAGTCAAGCTCCTGCCCAGGCCTGAGCAGAGGTCTCTGAAGAGAACTCCTCAGGCTGCACAGCAGGCAACTTGGAACTGCATCTTGTGCTGGTGACCAAGTCACCTACAGCACTTCTTTACAAAAAGTTTAAAGATAGAAAATAGAGGGCACCATTTTTCACGCTAGTCTCCTTTTGGTCCCTGAGAGCTGACATACAGATTACTTTAAAATTGGCTAGAAGATAGGTTATGGTGACACAATAAAGAATATATGCACATGGTCTCTCATAACTTTCAAAATCCCTCGGAATTTCCTAAGTGCTAGGGGCTGTCTTAGTAAGGCTAATGAAGTGACCCACTGTGAGTCTCAAGACAGTTTCGAGACACCCAACAACTACAGCAGCTTAATTTCTTTTCTCCAACTGCCAATACCTCCTTTTCCAAAGCAAAAGCTCCAGTCTAGTGGTTTAGAAGGCAGCAGGGCAATGAGTCAAATCACAGACTAGTCATCTGCTAATATGCCTACAGATTTATAAATGTAAATCAATTACAAGAATAAAAATCCAGTTAATTCTTCTTTGGGCTGTTCCATCTCTTTGAACACACCATTTTGAAGAATTTAAATCCGCTGAAGTTGAATTAGAATTCTCTTCAAATTAACGTTTTGGGACAAGTTAAACACCACAATATCGTTAAAAGCCTGACAACATTTTGAAGTGGTTATGAATGTTTTATACTTGATCTTGGCCATAGGTCGATAAGCTATATGTTTTAGACACTGACATTCTCTTTAATTTAGAATATAAAATAGATACTAGTAAAATATACTAATAACACTATAGAATAACACACTATATAACACACTGTGCAATAACTTATACTGTGCAATAGCACTTACACTGTATAGTACACCTGTGCTTCACAGTCATCAGAACTACAATGTACACAGTATTTTTTAAATTCTACTAATATGAGGATTCCTGTATTTTTGTCAATCTATACATCTGAGTATTGTATCAATGACTGTTCAAATAATATTACTTGAAAATGCTAACTTTTTCCTAAAAAGTCAAACAAATACGGAGTTTCTTGAAAAATGAAGTTAAGGGCTGAATAGTTAAGGAATTGCACTACACTACAAAAACTAAGGCCACAAATCAAATACCTATACGGCACAGACAGGTAATGAAAATAAGTGCATCAAGTCAGGAGTGATGCAATAAAAGGTGCTAAGCAACATGACACCATGGCAGTCTGCTGGGAGAGCCAAGCAGTTGTCAGGTCTCATTTTTCTCAGGATTCAGAGGCCTGGCTGTCCTAGTTTTGCTTCCTGTTGCTGTGATAAAATACTTTAACAAAACCAACTTTAGGGGAGAAAGGATTTATTTGGCTTACAATTTCAGGCCCATCATTGTGGGGAAGTCACAGTGGCCAGAACTTGAAGCAGCTAGTCACACCCATAGTCAAAGGCAGAGAGAATGAATGCATGCACACCAGCGCTTAGCCCCTTGACAATTACACAGTCCAGGATGCCTATTAGAGAACCTCGCCACCCACAGTGGGCTGCGTCTTCTCGTATCAATTAATCAATACAATCCCCCCACAGACCAGCTCACAGGCTAACCTGACTAGACAATGTCTCACTGACACTTCCTTCCCAGGTGATTCTAGATTGTGTCAAGTTGACAAAACTGACCACCACACTGGCTTTTTATGTGAACTTTCAAAATTAAATGTGAACATAACTAAAGAAATTTTAATCTCTCTTTCTGATTACTTTTAGGTTGTCTCATTGGCTAAATTTTTAGTTTGGTATTTTTACAATAGATACCATGTTAAGGTGGGTATTAAATAAAATCTAATTTTAACGCATTTCTTTGGTCCAGGAAACATTTTCAAACTCAAAGCAATATTACAGATTTTAAAGACCATAATCTGGGTACAGTGGCTGAGGCCTGTAAGAATAGTATTTGGGAGAAAGCAGAGGCAGGTGGATTGCTGTGAGTTTGAGGCTAGCCTGGGCTACAGTACGAACCTCTGTTCAAAAAAAAAAATTAAGAAAGATCACAAATAAGGATAGACTCCTGTACTTCTCAGACTTTTCCTAGGGAAAAGCCTTGAACCAAATCTCCCAAGCTTGTAGGCAATATCAAAGGAAAAACTCTCGGTTTCAAAAAAATTGAATAAAATCAACATTTTATACAAATTTTGGCTTGATAACACAATACACTTATGCTTGTTTTAATACAAAGCCTGCTCTGTTATCTCCCTCTGTAAAATTTGCCATGTTTGTTTCTGTGGTTTTCACAAACTGTAGCCCAATAGTAAGTACAGCTCTACAGGTCACCGGTATGTGAGTCAGTTTTATTCACTTTTTTTTTTTTTCCTGGAACCCAAAGCCCTTCTTTGGAGCATGCTTTTAAGGAAAGATGAGTCTGATGAATGAGGGGTAGTTAGTGAAAACAGCCATTTTTAATTCATCAGAACCATCCCAAGTGTTTTTAGAATGAGTTATATAAAAATAAAAAACCCCCATCAATTCCCTGTAAGGCACCGCATCCCGTTACACCAGTCTCTCACTCCCTTGGACTTCAGGACCCATCTCTCTCACTTCCTTGTTTATTACTCCTCTAAGATAAATTCGCTTTCGATCTTCCCACAAAGCTCTTTCCAAAACCCTGGATCCCATACAACGCCTCTGTGCAGAAGCAGCGGGAGGAGAAAGAGTAGTGAGGCAGGCAGTCGCATGCCGGCCTGCACCGAGTTTTGCAGGCAGAGAAAGCAAAGGCAGAGCCGTCCCGGGGTCCACAAGGCCCCACCCTCAGGAGCTCCAGGCCAGGCCCAGAAGGTGCAGAGCGCGAAGCTGCAGCTGCTCCGCAGGGTGCGCGGAACAGCCGGGATGGCGGAGCCTCTACCGCAGGGATGCGGGATGGAGAGAGGGAGCATCCGCCAGATCTCGCACGCCCCAGGGTCGCCCAGACCTCACAAAGACCCCTCCCCGCAGCAGGCCTCCCTCGGCTCACCAGTGCCCAGACGCCGACCTTGTGTACCCGCAGTGCTGGCCGGAGAAGCCCTGCGTAGCACCGTGATAAGGTGGCGGCCTGAGGGATGGGGACAATGTCAAACTAGGCCTCCACGTCCGAGTCCTCCAGCCAGCCCCGCCCCTTTCCCTCGCCACGCCCCCTTCCCCTCGTCCCGCCCTCGCACCGGAGTGGCGAGGGTCCCGGATGTGCCCTCCTACGGCTCTCTGAGTCCCCGCCCCCTCTTCTGGCCGAGGAGTTTCGACGTCTCGGGGGCGGCTAGAGCGTCTCCTGCGCTCCGTTGCGCTGCAGGTGACGGCGCCCGGAGACTGTCGGGAAGTAGGCGGGGTGACGTGGGGTGGACGAGCTCCCGGCGGGTTTCCTGAGAGATCCGTGGCCGCTGGCAGCTGGTGCAGGGGGCTGCGGACAGCGCTAGGCGCAGCGGGGCGGCGTGTGGCCGGGGCCATGACGGGCAACGCCGGGGAGTGGTGTCTCATGGAGAGCGACCCTGGGGTCTTCACCGAGCTCATTAAAGGATTTGGTGAGCACCAAGGGGACGTCCTGGGCCGGGGGTTCTGGGAGGAGGCCCACCTTGGGCAGGATGGCCACCTGCCGCCACCGTCGCCCGGCGTCCGAGAAGTGACTTCAGGAGCCTGGAGTCGCCGTTCGGGGGAACGTGGGGCTTCGGCCGGACGCCCGTCATTTTGGGAGTCACCACGAGGGCAAGGATACCCTCCGCCCGGTGCACTGCTGTGTTCTCAGGACTCGGAGACTTTAATCGACTTGAGCTCCCGCCCTCCCCTTTCTCCCCTTTCTACCTCATCTCGAGCGCACCTGTCTTGTCCTGTCCTGTCCTGTCCCGTCCCTCCCTGGGGCCGCCCCGTCGCCGGGCCACCGGTGGTCAGGTGCATTGCTCAGGCGGTTACGGACCTGCAGAAGCCGGCCTAGGGCGTGTGTTTTCCAGGGTGGTGTCTGAGGCCCCAGCCGCCCAGGAACTCGAGATTCTAGTTTCTCAAAGCAGAACTTCCACCTTACATGTGTGCGTAGCTCTTTCCGACGGCCACAGCTGCCGGCACACTACTTCACTGGTTCTTTTACTTAATCCTTTTTGGCTTCCGGTGAAATGAGTTTGCTTGAGGTAGTGCTTTCCCCTAGGGAAGCCACATGCTTTCCTCTTCACTTCTCTCGGACTATGTTCATTTCCTTCTATACCAGTCAACCCATACGGTTTTTCAGCCTTACCTTCCTCCTACTCCCAGCCTTTTTGGGGAGTCTATTTTTTTAATTCGTTACTTTTCAAGTATTGTTTGTAGCCGTTTTTTTAAAAATTTTGTACTTGAGATAGCAAACATTGTTGTACATGACTGAATAATTGGAATATTATCTAGCATGTGCTATTCATTTGTAGCTCAGGCAATACAGTTAAGCACTGGGAATTAAATTGTTTTAGAATTTTCATTTTTATGTGTGTTTTGCCTGCAAGTAGGTGAGTGTACCTGGGTCGTGTGATGCCTGTGAAGGCTAGGAGAGAGTTTCGAATCCACCATGTGGGTGCTGGTCCTGGTCCTGGTCCTTGTCCTGGGAACCACTGAGCCCTCAGAATTGGAAAATTTTTTTAAAGGAATATTCTTGTTGCTTGTATGAGTATGGTGTGTGTGTGTGCGCGTGTGTGTGTCTTGTCTGTGGGTGGGTATTGTGTGAGTGCAGGTGCCCATTGAGGCCAGAATTACTTGTGGCTGTTAGCTGTCTAACATGGGTGCTGGAATTTGAATTCTGGTCTTCTTCAGGAACAGTGGTTCTTAACCACTGAGCCATCTCATCTCTCTGTGTCCTGCCCCCCCCCCCTCCAGCCCTTACAACTTAACCCTTAATCTTCTCCAAACTCACACAATCTTTCTCACTTTGGCAAATGGCAACTACACCCATCTATTTATTCCAACCCCAAACCCTGAAGTAGTTCCAGATTCCTCTTCCACACATGTGGCCCTGCATCTGGCTAAGGATTGGGATTTTTTTTTAATTAATATTTTTATTTTTTCGTTATGTGTATGCATGTATTACCTGCATGTAGGTGAATGCACTTGTGTCGTGCAATGCCCATGGAAGACAGAAGAGGCTGTTGGATCCCCTGGAACTAGAGTTATGGACAGTAGTTAGCTGCCATGTGGGTGCTGGGATTCGAACCTGGGTCTTCTGCAAGAACAGTCAGTGTTCTTAACCACTGAGTAATCTCTCCAGCTCCCAGGATTGAGAATTTTTAAAAAAGATTTATTTATGTTTGTGTATGTATGTCTGTGTGACTATATGCCATATGTGTGCAGATGCCCTCAGAAGCCAGAAGAAGGTGCTGAATCACCTAGAACTGGAGTAGTTACAGGCCACTACTCTTGGGTCCTGGGAATCAAACTCAGGTCCTCTGGAAGAGCAGTGAGTGTTCTTAACCGCTAAGCCATTTCTTCAGCCCCAGGATTGGGTATTTTTAATGTGAACAACCAGACTGCTGCTATTCTGAAGAACTGACAGACTATAATCAGATGTGTTGTTACACTGAGTATACAGAAAATGTTTTAAGAACATATATTAGGAGGGAGCAGAGGCAAAAGAAAAAGCATGAACTGCAGTGCTATGGGACTGTGGCTTAGGGAGCAGCTAGCAAAGTAACTGGCCATGATGTAGTGAATGGGCAGGAAGGGTATAGATCTGAAGATTAAAAGGTAAGCAGGCCAAATTGTATGCCATATTGTATAGTTTGGATTGTCCTGTCATCACTGGGAACTTCCAAAAAGGATCTGAATGGAGTTCAGATATATTGAAATTCGTTTTATGATTAAGATTGACTGTAGTGTTTTATAGTAGAATGAAGTGAGACAATCTAAAAATGGTCAGTTCTTGATAATTGGCTAAAAAGAAGGTGAAGCCAGTACTTAAGCTGTATTTCAGTCTCAATTGCATGTGGAAAATACCTTCTCCTCATTCTTTTGGAGCAAGAACACATCCTACATGCTACACTAAAAAAGGAGTTCTCAGGGCTGCCAACCTTCCAGTAGAGGTTGAGTGGTAGTATATTTCTCCTACATAAAAAGAAAAAAGAATTATCAGGACTGCTGACTGAATGTAGGGGAAAAAGGCGAAAACCATGCCTAGTTTGAAGCTTGAGTGAGTGGCTGGCAAAGTACAACTGCAAGAGACAGGTAAGATAGATAAGAAAATAAGGGCAGTTTTGGAGTTTGAAGTCTTTGCAGGTTGAGTGATAAATTTTATCTTCAGAATCTTAAATGTTTTTTTAAAAGTTGTCTTCGGACATGTTGGCCTAGGTAAGTTTATTTTTAAATTACTGGAGTCCAGGGTTGGAGAGATGGCTCAGTGGGTAAAAGTGCTTGTTGCACAAGACTTATGACCCAAGTTCCATCCCTAGAACCCACTGTGGAAGGAGATTACCCCTCTCCAAAGCTGTCCTCTGATTTCTAACCACTCACTGTGGTGCATGCATACTTGGACTCTGTATTATACACACATACACAGTAGTAATAATAATAATAATAATAATAATGCTGTCTATTACCATCTGTTTGGTTTTCATACATGCAGATAACTTGGAATTTGAAAATGAATTTAAGCAAAATCCTATATTCGAGTGATAATATAAATGTACTGGCACATATTAAAAAGCAATAGCTGTTCTTGAGTTGGCTTCTAACACAGAGGAACTTTGAAGAAGTTAAATGATGCTAGTTTATATCATCAGATACTTCAAAGAAATAAAAATCATTCCAGTACTTTTCACTTATTTTTTTCATTCAATTCCTGGATTTGTAAAGGTGATTGGAAGTTAATTCTTCTGAAAGTGAAATATCTGTATTATGAATGCTATTGCAGATTCTTTTCTCTTTTTCTTTTTTTGTGACAGACTCTCATGTAATCCAGACTGGCTGAGGACCCATTAAGTACATACTTTCAGCTCAAGGTGTTGATCCAGGAGTTACATGGTACATTAGTGATTTTGCAGACTGCTTTGCCATGAGAGAGGAAGTCTGGAATAATTGCATCGTGTGGAACAACAGACCCATGCTTTAAGGCAGATGTGAATGACTTGGGTCCAAGATGGTGTTCCCTTAACATTAAAGTTTTTTATGGCCACATCTGAGATGTATTTCACTTTGTTTTGAGGAGAGAGACAAATTAATACTTGGCTTTCACATAAGAATTATAGTCTTGGGGAGGGTTTCACAAGTATTGTTTGTAATTGTTGGGGCCCCTAAAACAAGATTGATTCATTTAAAGGGTATAAGTAAGCAGTCTTTCTGGTTTAGGAGTACCAGTTAAGTTTAAATCAACTGTGTTGTCCTTGTTTTTAGAGAGATTGCTTGAGGGCTGTCAATCTAGGTTTTCTTATTTGATCACATCACCATCTACATGGCATTTATGTGTACCATGGCACTGAGGAAAATTTACAGGAGTGTTCTTTTCGTGAGATACAGAAACTGAAGTCATCCCTGCTGTTTTTTGTAGATTTGGTGATGGTGTTAGAAGAATAAAAATTGCTGTCAAAACTGTCTGTTAGAAGACAGCATACCTAGCAGTTGATTAAATTTAAGGCACTGGCAGCACTTTGGGAGAACTCTATTAGATATTTCTTAGAGAAGGGAGCTCCAGATATATTTTTTAAGAAAGTTACTGTTCTATACAGTTTGGAGAATCATCTATCATAGTCATACTTTTGGTTTTGAGTGAGTTTTATTAAATATATAGCAAGCAAAAGTAAACAAATAGCAAGAGATGGGTAGAAAGATGACTCAGAGGTTAAAAGCTCATATTGCCAAGGACCCAAGTTCAGTTACCAGCCCCCATATTGGGCAGCTTACAACCTCCTGTAACTCCAACTCAAGGGACTACCTGGCCTCTGAGGGCACCTGCACTTACATGTACACACTCAGTCCCCCACCCCTGACATGTACACATAATTTTAAAAAACCTGAAATCTTAATTAAAAAAAAGAATCATGAAGTCAGGTGCTCAAAACATCCAGCAGAAATTGACTGGAGTAATCCCTGTTGAGGCAGTCAATTTGAGTTCCAGATCAATTCTGGGCAGAGCAGAGTACCCCCTTGGGTCCTTGGGTGAGGCTTCCAAGTAAAAGAATAACAGCAGAAAGGTCACCAAATCAGGGACTTACAAGCATGTAACAGAAATCTACTGGGTAAGTGCTGTTGTGGTTGTCAGCTGGAATTCTAGGCAAGAGAGTCCCATGCAGAGCAGAATGCCCCCTCAGGTGAGACTTCCCAGTAAAGGAACAAATAGCAGCAGATAGAGATATCATTAGCTTGAGCCTTCATAAACATCCAGCAGAAACTACCTGAGAAAACTGAGGCCAATTTAATGATATTTTGCTGTCATTTAATAATTATTATTTTACTTTAGCTTGCTATATACTTAAGCTTAAAAACCAAAAGCGACTTTCAGATCATTCATCAGACCATACAAAACAATGATTTTTGCCAGCCATAGTGGCTGATGCTTATAATTCTAGCACTTGAAAAAGCTGAAACAGAAGGATCACAAGTTTAAGGCTAATTAGTGAGACTATATGTCTTAGGGGAAAAAAAGAGTAGAACTATTTTTTAAGATCATCAGGATCAGCATAGTTACTACATAATATTTCAAAACTTCTTTTTAGAACCTCTTTCAATTTAGAACAGGCTTAGGTGACAGATCGTATGATCATATAGTTCAGTTACCCATCTCACCAATGCCAATGATCTGTCTTAGCCCTGAACCTCAGAGTATGACCTCTGTCCTTCATATTTAGTTTATGCATTCTGCACTGTCCTTGTCTGTGCAGATTTACTTGATTATGGGGCTTTTAAGTATTGTTACAATAGCTCATTAATTTCTGTCCTTGCCAGGGTGTACTACAAAGTATTTGATACATAATAGTAGTTTATTAACTTTGAAAAATCTTCCTTTCTTCAATTTTGTGTTTATGTGTATGTGTTATGTATGTGTTGTGAGGGTATGGAAACCAGAGATCAAAGTTGAGGTCTTCCTCAGTCCCCTCCCCCAAATTTTTTGAGGCCATCTCTGTGAACCTGGAGTTTACCAGTTGGCTAGGCTGCTGGCCAATAAGCTCAATGAATCTGCCTGCCTGTCCCCTTTCCCTGCAAGCCCTGGGGTTATGGAGGCACACCCTGTCTGACTTATATGTGGGAGCTGGGGACCCATATTCAAGAGCTCATGCTGTGTACACACACACTTTACTACCATAGCCATCTCCTCAGCGCCCCCTTCAACTTTTCATTTAACATTATTAGGAGAGTTTTCATTCCTTCTTTTTTTGTTTGTTTAATGTTTAATTAACCGTGTGTGTATGTGTGTGTGTGTGTGTGTGTGTGTGTGTGTGTGTAATAAGACTTTTTTTTTTTCCTTAAACAGGTACTGCTTTGTATGTATATGAGGAAAATAAAGCTTAAAGAAATTGTCTTTTTGCTTAAGGTTAAGAACTTCATGACAGTCAGGAATTGTGGCTCATATCTATAAATCCAGCATCTGAGAGGTTAAAGCAGGAAGATTACATCAAGTTCAAGGGCAGCCTAAGCTTCAGAGTGGGACCCTGTCCCATAAGAAAAGAAAAGCAGTTTGGGAATTAGGATCCAGGTCCTGCTCTCTAAAATCATTCTTTATTTCTCTGTTTATACCATGTTGTATTACATAGTGAATATATTTAGATTTTGAATGTATTTGAAAGTCTTAACAACTCACTGTTATACTTTCATTAACATAGATAATTGTGTTTGCATCTAACATGAGATTATTTAAACATTGTTACCACTTGGAATTTTACCTGTGTAGAAGTTTTAGGGGCATGTTGTTTGGTATATATTTTTATTTTTTGCTATGATATGATACCTAGACTCTGACTTTTTTTTTTAATATATTGATTTCCAGTAGCATTAACCAATGTTAGCAATGGCATTAGTTATTGCTTCCTGGCCTTTTGGCTATGATCAGGCATAGTAACAATTGTATTAGTGTCCTGATGTGCTTTTCTTGATACCTAGAAAAAATTAGGTACAAATTTATGAGATTTTTTTTCCCCCAAAACTTAATGTATGTGAATATATATCATCTCAGTCTACTGCTTAATAGTTGTCGTTAATATCAGAGTGAGCACACGTAGATACTTGCAAAATAGAGCAAATGGAATGATATGAATGCCCAAGTCACGTTGTTGGTTAGCCTAAGACTTCTGATGTTTTGTTCTGTGAATTGAACCCAGGACCATATGCATACCAGGCAGGAACTCTGAGCTACAGCACCATTTCAAAAAATAGTTTTATTAGGAGGTCTGAAGGTTTCTGTAGCTCTCACTTGAAGATAATAGGGAATATTAGATTTCCAGACATTGGAACCAAATGTGGGTTTTAATTAATAGTTGTAGTGAATTGAGGGAGCCATTTAACGTCTTGAATTGTCTTCTATTAAATTCTTACCTGGTAGGTATTAGAGAAGGTGCATTCAGAACGCTTTACACAGGGGTGATTATCATCACATTATATTTTGTGATAATTCTAATGTTCAGTGGCTCTTAGAGTGCTAGGCACTGTATTTTTCTCTGTTATCACAATCTGAGTATGGGGATAGAGAGGTGAAATGGTATACCTCAAAAATGGATGAGCTGTGATTCAAATTTGGCAGTTAAGGAAGCCTAGTGCTCATCATATGATTACTGTTTATTGTGATATGTACTGCTAGAACAAGTTTTCTTAACAGTGGTTGACAGTGTTGACATTTTGGGTGTGATAATTCTGGAGGCCTCATTATGTTGCCCAGACTGGTCCTGGACTCCTGTATTCAGACCATTGTGCTGTCTTAGCTTTCTCAGTATCTGGGACTACAGATATGTGGTACCTCACCCAGCCAGATAATTTTGGTCTTGTGCAACATAGGACATTTACCAGAATCCCTCCTCTCTTCCCACTCTTAATACTCTCTGCTCTAGTGACCAAAAAAAAAAAAAAAAAAACCAAAAAAAGTCTGTGGACATTGCTAGGTATTCCCAGGAGAGAAAATATAACCCTAGTTGGAAACCACTGTCCTAGAATAGTGTGTTTGGAGCTGGGTGTGGTGGCGCACACTTTAATCCCAACACTGGGAAGGCAGAGGCAGGCGGATCTCTGTGAGTTCAAAACCAGCCTGGTCTACATAAGTGAGTTTCAGGAAAGCTGGGGCTATGGGAGGTCCTGTCTTAAAAAGACCAAGAAAAAAAGAATAGAATGTTTGGGTTGGGGAAGACGCTAGCGGAAAATACACACTTGGAATGTCTCAAAACTCAAGATGTGATTTGAAAGTCACTGTTAAGTGCTAGTTATTCTTTCCCAGAAAAAAAAAAAAAGCATATAGTAATTTACAAAGGAGAGTCAAGCATAGAGTAAGGTAAACTCAGGAACGAAGAACCAAGGATCAAGGCACAAATCATAGGGTGTTGATTTGATGTAAGTCAACTCCTGAAACTAATAATATGCTTTCACTGCAGGCAACTGGGAAATAATGAAGAAGCAGTAGAACTGGGTTGTGTGTGTTGTCCATTTCACCGTTTTCATTTGCCAGGCCTTAGTGCCCTAGAATGTGTCTTTTATTATTTTATTTAATGGTAACATAAAGGGAAAACACTACGTTATTTTTTTCTAAGAAAATAATTTCTTTCAGGTTGCCGAGGAGCCCAAGTAGAAGAAATCTGGAGCTTAGAGCCGGAGAACTTTGAAAAGTTAAAGTAAGTGGTTTTAGTTGTGTTAACTGTATCTCAGCAGACTTTTAAAAGATGCTAAGATTGGTCTATTTCTTTTACTTGAATGATCATAGATTGAATACATTTTTAAGCTTTTTTTTCAGTCCTGTGAGGTAAGTTTTATTTTGACTTGCTAGCCAAGGTACATAGCACACAGGACATGCAAACCTAGCTATAATTTCATAACCATGAAGTACTGACCATTGAGTTTTCACAGAATTTGTTTATAGTTCAGTAGTGTTAGATGGTAGAATACATTTTATCATCAAAAGCATGAGTAATAGGTCATAAAAGCATTTTTAATAGGTAATATATAATAATAATTGAGAACTTGTTTATACATTATCACATTGCTTTCTGGAAAAGTTAAAAGTTCAAGTTCCAGATGTTGATGTTGGGAAGCATCTTCCCCTTTGACCAAATCTTTCTGATCAGAATTGTCTCTCAGAGCTGAAGTAAGATTGAGGCAGGAAGAATGCTAGTTCCAGGCCAGTCTGGGATGGATACATAGATAGTTCCAGGCCAGCCTGCCCTATGTAGTGAGGTTATGTCTCAGAAAACAAGCAAACAGCAAAATAGCAACAAAGCAAAGCAAAATCACTTCCCTTTGACTTTCATACTCTCAAGCATTGACTCTGAAGCTGCAAATGGAGGACTAGAGTTTTTGTTTTGTTTTTAGAGTCTTAGAATGAGGACAAGGACTAGGTTTCTAAAAATATTTTATTATTTTTATTATTTTATGTGTATGAGTGTATTGTCTGCATGTATGTAAGTATACCTCTGTAGTGCAATACCTGCGGAGGCTAGAAGGTGTTGGATCCCCTGGAACTGGAGTTAAGAACCAGTGTTATCCACCATGTGAGTGATGGAAACTGAACCTGGGTCCTCTGCAAGATAAGCCAGTGCTCTTAATTGCTGAGCCATCTCTCTGGCCCCCAGGAATAGGTTTTTAAAGGAGAAAAATGGCAGCCAGGCCTGATGACTCATTATTTGTAATCTTAGAATTTGGGAGACTGAGTGAGGCAAGAGGATTGTCATGAGTTTGAAGCCAGCCTGATCTTATAGTGAGTTCCAGATTTACCTGGGCTGCTGCAGACCGTGTGCGTGTGTGTGTGTGCGCGCGCGCGCGCGCGCGCATGTGTGTGTGTGTTTTGAGACAGGGTCTCTCTGTAGCCCTGGAACTTGCAGGCCTGGAACTTGCTTTGGAGACCGGGCTGGCCTTGATCTCACAGAGGTCCGCCTGCCTCCTAATAGTAAGAAAAAGATGCTTCCTCCCTCCTTCATCTTCCCCACAGAAACAGCAGTGATTGCAGATTAAATAAGAGACTTATTCTGGTTGAAATCAGGAAAGGTAAAGGTGCATCATTTGAACTGTATTTTAAAAGATAGCAAAGAATTATTTGAGAGGAAGGAAGCTGTGAAAGAAATCCTAAAGTGATGACTTACTGTTCCTTATGCATCAACAGTGTCATTAAGAAGGTTAATAGCTTGGGGCTAAAGAGATGGATAAGTGGTTAAGAGCACTTACTACTCTTTCAGGAGACCCAGGTTCTGTTCCCAGTACCCACATGGTGGCTAACACCTGTCCTTAACTCCAGCTCAAAAGAATCTGATGCCCTCTTCTGGTGTACTTAATTTACGTGCAGGCAAAACACTCATGCACATAAAAAAAGTAAAAATAATTTTTTAAAACGATTGCAAATGACTTAATTATGTATGAGACGACAGTGGCCATTGATACTATAGTTTGAAGAATATGTATAAATTAATTGTATGGAGGTGACTTCCTAGATTTAATAATGTGCCTGTGGTCAGCTGTTTTTATGTGAATACTCCCTCCCCAGCTTTCTTTCTACTTATTGGAATTTGATATAAGTTAATAGCTTCTAGTTTTGCTATGTTTTTCACTTTCCATTTTGTTATTGTTTTTATTTTTGAGGCAGGGCCTCATGTAGCACAGGCAGGTCTCAGCTTGTGACCTTTTCGCCTCTACTGCCCAAAGTGCTGGTTATATTACACTCTTGTCTTTCTCACTCTCTCTTTCACTTGCTCTTTCTCTCTTTTCTTTTTTTTTAAGAGGTGCTTCCCGTATCCTCAGCTACCCTGGAACTTGCTGTGTAGACTAGGCTGGTCTTAATCTCACTGAGATCTGCTAGCCTCCACCTCCTGAGTGCCAGGATTAAAAGTGTGCGCCATCATGCTTGGCTTGCTCGCTCCCTCCCTCCCTTCCTCCCTCCCACCTGGAACTTATTATTTAGGCCAAGCTAGCCTCATGGCCTCTCTTGGGCTGTAGGCTACCACACCTGGCCCCATTTTCTCAATTTTTTAAAATGAGATGATATAAGGTAAAAATGAATAGTCCACAGATTTGAGAATAAACTTTTTATTTATATAATTCTATTTTAACTAATGTAGCTTTTAGTTTTATTAGCTTACACACACACATATATGAATGTATTGCTTGCATGTGTGTAAGTACCTGTGTCTTATAATGCCCTCAGAGGTCAGAAGAAGGCATTGGATCCCCTAGAACTGAAGTTATGGATGATTGTTAGCTGCCATGTGGGTACTGGGAATCGAGCCCAAGTCCCCTTCAAGAGCAGCTCATGCTCTTAATAGCTGAGCCAATTTGCATTGTTTTTATTCAATAGCTGACTACATTTTGACATATTGATGGTGTATATAAAAGAGCCTGGGCTAATATATATATATATATATTTTCTTGTAGGCCAGTTCATGGATTAATTTTTCTTTTCAAGTGGCAGCCAGGAGAAGAACCTGCAGGGTCTGTGGTTCAGGACTCCAGACTTGACACAATATTTTTTGCAAAGCAGGTATGGTCTATGGATACTCTGAACAATCAGAAGAGCCAAGGGACCCTAGTCTATGTGTGTGCTTCTAGTTTAGTGCTTTGTTTCCTTGTCCTTGGGGGGACCCTTTACATATTTAAAATGATTGCCCAAGTATGAGATTATCTTAGTATTTAATGTATCAGGCATTGAAACTGAAACACAGAATAATTATTAGTTGAATAAAAATTAGCAATAAATTGTTAGGTGTTAATGGATATAGTTTTTGTGTATGTCTGGACAAACCCAGGACTAGAATTTAGATTCCTACCACATATATAAAAAGCTGGATGGGTATGATGACACTCCTGTAATCCTAGGACTTAGAAATTGAGATAGGGTGTCCCCAGTGCAAGCTGGCCAAATCAGCAAGCTCCTTGTCTAGGGAGAGACCCTGCCTTAGTACATAAAGTGGAGAGATTGAGGAAGGCATTCAGCATCAGCCTTAGCTTCTACATGCAGAAATACCTACACACACGCACATTCACACATATGTGCACTTGGACATGTGAGCACACATGAATACTATGCACACATACACATATAAAAAGTTAAAATCCTATTTTTGTATGATACGGTTATAAAGATTAAATGTATAGTATTAGTATTTATACATTTCATTGCATCAACTTAAAGAAGTAACACTGGCTATCTTGGGCTAATTATATGCTCTAATTGGTGGTTTGTTTGAATATATTATAGATTAATGAAATCTGAAGCCTGGAAGTGTAGCTTGTTTCCAGACACTGTGTGTGTGTGTGTGTGTGTGTGTGTGTGTGTGTTTATATATGAGAGCGCGTGTGTGTGTATGTTTATGAATGAGAGCTTGAGGTTTTTATGCCAGCTAAGCCAGTTACATCCTAGTACTTGCAATTTACATATAAGGATCTAGGAATGGCATTTCAGTAATGCTTCTCTCCCAGACATTGTTGTCATATTGCTGATGAGAAAGCTCAGGCATGACCTACTTCCTTTCTGTTTGTCTGAGTACATCTCTTCAGACTTTTTGGTAAGAGTAATTGAGTAGTTATAAAGACTCATGGATTTCACCAAAAGTTCTTACATTAACCAGCTATGATTTACTAGAGCAAAAGTATATTGATCAGAACCTATATAGGGAAGAATAGAGTGAGGCAAATTGAGGAGTTGAATTCAGTTGTATTCTTCCAGTGGTGTCATACATGGTATTTCCAGGCAGTGCTTTTTGATGGTATGCAGAGTATTACCTTCTAGGAAAACCTCAACTGATTCTTAGGGATAAAATTTTTATTTGGCTTCATTGACTTGACTGGTCATCCACAAAGATAAGCTGTCTTCTGCCCTTCAGGAGGCAGAACTGATATGCTGACCCAAAGCCTAAACTCTAAGACAGATTGTTACAACAAGGCTCCTAGGAATCAGGGAGCCAGACATCTTGGGGTGAAGTAATTTGCTATAAAAATAAAGAAGATTTTGACCTTTTTGCGGAATTCTGGGAAAGCTGTTCTGAGTAAATAGTTTACTTAAATCTGTAGGTTAAGTAGGTATTAACTAGGGGCAAGAGGGTTGAGGATCATTCCAGATGAGTAACCACTTTCTTGCAAAAGGAAGGAAGATGCAAAAGATATTAGAGAAGGCCCGTGTAGCTGACTGTGGAGAGACAGGCAGTAGGGAGATGGCATGAAGTACAAAGCTGAAAAGGTGTAAGGTCACCAGGTCAGGTCAGAAACAAGTTTAGAGAAACAATGGACTATCAGTAAGTAGAGTTTTTTGTTTTGTTATTTTCTAATTCATGTGTAGATTATTCTAATTCATTTATTTTGTGTGCTATATGATATCAGTTGCATGGACATGATGTAGTTTATTTAGTTTTCTGTAGATTGTCATTTGGACTTTTTTATACATTTTTTCTCCTATTTGTGCTTTCCCGTATGTATCTCTAGAAGTAGAATGATTACTTCATGTAATTAATAAATTAGTTAATAAATGTGCAACTTTAGGAGGAAATATTAAAATGTTTCCTGAAGTAGCAGCTCTAAATTACATTCCTCCTAGCAGAGTGTAAGAATTGAAAGCCAGGGGCTAAGCTGGTAAAGTATTTGCTGCCGAGCCCCATGACATGAGTTTGATCTCTGGAAGCAGAGACCCAACTCCCTCAAATTGTCCTTGACCCCCACTATGGCACACACACACCCTCCCCTACCCCAAATAAAAAAGTACTCACACTCACTGAGCCATCTCCCCAGCCCTTTAAAATCTCATTTTCCCCTTAAGAAGCCATAGTTTGAGACTGGAGAGATGGCTCAGCAGGTAAGTGCACTGGCTGCTCTTGGGAAGGACCCAAGTGACTAACAACTGTATGTAAGTCCAGTTCCAGGGGATCTGATGCCCTCTTCTGGCCTCCACTGAGATTTCATGCACAGGTCCACTTGCATACATGCAGGCAAAACACGTATAATTAAAATAAATAAAATTCAAAACAAAAGTTGGAGCTACAGCAATAATTTTTATTGTAATTGTTTTGTGATATGAGTTAAAAAGTTCTTTTAAATATATATGTACGTGATATAAATATATCAAGCTTTATATACTTTACATACATAAAATGATTATCACAAGGACAAGGGCCGTATCTCCCTTGTTTATCATATGCCCAGAAGTTATCACAAATTCTGGCCCATAGTGATACTCTGAATATTACTTGATTGAGTAAGTGACTGTGTACTTTAAAAATTTTTTTTAAATTCTGTGTGATGTATAGTATAACCACTTGGTGGCAGTAAACTCAATTTAAAACGCAAGGTATTTCTATGCCCCTGCATACTTTAATTACTGTGCTTCACATACATGCAAAAGATTACATCATAGTATAAATTAGTACTGGTTCTCAGAGAAATATTGAGTTATTTTTCTTTCTCATCTCACCAAAAACAATGTACATTGATGAATCTCAGATTTGGATTCTTTAAAGGATCATATATGTTAGCTGTCTTAAAATATGTCATGATTTTGAAACAATGTGTGAATAAACATAAAATTAACTTGTAACTTTACTTTTGCCTCCCCTGTCCTCAGATGATATCACCCAGATAATTTTGGCTTTAAAGAGCATTAAAAGTTAGGAAGTTTTAGCAACTGCCTTTAATGGTCTCTTTGGTCATTAAAACTTTTCATCCATTTGGGTCTAGGCCTATAATCTCAGCTACTTTGGAGACTGACGTAGGATATTGCAAGTTCAAGGCCTGCCTGGGATGTAGAGTGAGTTCAAAATCAGTGTCAATAATTTAACGAGACCCTGTCTCAAAAGGAGTTAGGGATATAGCTCAATGGTAGAGTACTTGGCTAGCACATGCAAAACCTTGGATTCATTCCCCAGTACCACACAAACAAAAACAGTTGTTCATCCAATTTACAAAATAACCAATTAAGATAAAAATACTCAGAGAAAAAAACAATGTCAATAGGGTTCTAGATCTCCTGTTAATGTTCCCTAATTTATCAATTACAAGTGGTTTTGAATATAAACTGAGGGAAAATGATTAGAATTTTTTTTTCTGAAACAGGCAGGCTCAAAATAATTTACCAATATATAAAATAATAAATTATTAACATTATTGGAGAAATGCGTTATAAAATGATTTAAAATTACAGTCTGGTCATAAAAATAATATGGTAGAACTAAGTTCTGTATGTATTAAGTGTATTTTATAGGTATTTCACTTTTTAAAAAGAGATTTATTTTTATTTGTGTTTCTGTGTGAGTACATGCCACATGTGTGGGGGGTTTCAGAGGCCAGAAAAGAGTGTTAGAGCCCCTGGAGTTGGAGCTATAGGGGGTGTGAGCTACCAGACGTGGGTGCTGGGAACCAAACTCGGGTCCTCTGGAAGAGCCACAAGTGCTTTTAATAGCAGAGTCATCTCTTCAGCCCCAAAGCTATATTTTTAAAAGTCACCTTTGTAACTCACTATGCTGGTGTTTTCATACTGTTTGTGAAATTCTTTCCAGGTCTGTGATCTTAACATTTTAGGTACTATAAGGAGTGTGGAAGAAACCATTTTCTATAGATATTTATAATCTTATTGGATAAACCCACACATATATACAGAGCCAGCTTAGCATGGTAGCCACTGTACAAATTCTAGAATTAGACTGGCTGTGACCCTTGGGAAGAAACCTAACCTCTTTGTGCCTCAGCTTCTAGAAAGTAAGAATATTAAGAATATTACTGTCATAGTTGAGAAGATTAAAATAATTAGTATATATATGAAGTGCTGAGAAAACTATCTGCATATAGTAGATGCTAAATGTTTTCTCTGGCTAGAAGATAAGATCCATGTCATTTGTTGAACATTTAACAGTAAGATGACCACAAGTGTGACTTATGATTGAGTAGAAAGAATATGTGTACAAATACACACTCTTGGGGATTCAAATAAAGTTTGAAATGAGTTGTTGCAGGATTTCTCTAAAAGCCAACCAGATGAATTAAAGCTTGTGCCTGATACTGAAATATGGGTTTAACTGAACAAGTTTAGGAGGAAGGGAATAAGAGGGAAGGACAAGTTCTTTTGTTCTGATCAGCTGTACTTTAGTTTAGGATGGTTGGTCTTATTACCTAATTGGACTGGTTTTCACTCTTAAGGATTATTAGGCTTCTTTGACTGTCTAGAATCTTTTAAGAATTTTTGCAAATTCCTGAAAATAGACCAGAATGGGAATTAAATGTTATTAAATGCTTATGCCAATACTACATGAACTAGAGTTTGAAAACTATTTTTATTTTGGGAGTTATTGTTACTAGTTAATTTTTAAAAAACAAATTATTATTGGGGCTGGAGAGAGAGCTCAGTGGTTAAGAGCACTGACTGCTCTTGCAGAGGACCCAGATTCGATTCCCAGCACCCACATGGAGGCTAACAACCGTCTCTAACTCCAGTTCTGGGGGAATCCTTTGCTTTCTTCTGACCTCTGCGGGCATACACACATGCAAGCAATATACTCATACACATAAAAAATTAAAAAATAATAAAATATTTTTAAAAAACAAATTGATAGTTGTCTTCTTAATAGTTTTCTTTTTCATATTTTATTTTATAGGTAATTAATAATGCTTGTGCCACTCAGGCTATTGTAAGTGTATTACTGAACTGTACCCATCAAGATGTCCATTTAGGAGAGACTTTATCAGAATTTAAAGAATTTTCACAAAGTTTTGATGCTGCTGTGAGTACAATCTTCTTCTTAATCCTAAAATGACCCACTTGTGATAGTTCTTACTATAACAGGCTACTTGTAAAAATTATTTTAGATGAAAGGGTTGGCATTGAGCAATTCGGATGTGATTCGACAAGTGCACAATAGTTTTGCCAGGTAAGGAGATTGTTGTGTTCTTTTCTTTGTTTTTGTTTTGTTTTGCTTTTTTTTGGCTTTCACTATTTTTTCTTTATTGTAGACAGCAAATGTTTGAGTTTGATGCAAAGACAGCAGCTAAAGAAGAAGACGCTTTTCACTTTGTCAGTTATGTTCCAGTTAATGGAAGGCTGTATGAATTAGATGGATTAAGAGAAGGACCAATTGATTTAGGTAATTTGCTTCCTGTTCTGGTATTTTCACTCTGGACAAGGGAAAAAGGATTTAATATTTGCCTTCATGTTAGCCAGAGTTGACATACTTAAAATTTGAAAGTGAAAGCTACTTTGAAGTAGTATAATAGGATGGCCTTAAGCTTTAATGCAACTAAATAATATATAGGAAGGACATGTTGCCTGCTCTTGTTTAGTTGGGGTCTATAGGTTTTGTCTAAGGGGGGAAAAATATATATAAATATATATATATA